TTTGTAAAATTTCAAAATATTTTGCAAAAATTGAGTTTTTCAAAGAAAAAAGAAATTTTTTCAAGTTTCAATAAATTGTACAGTAATGCACCTACGTGACCCATCTTCAGCATAAAATTTTCTCAAAGAGTTGTATTTTCCTGTGGAAATTGTCCCCGTATTGCAAAATAATTGGAAATATGTGAAAAATCTACCAAAACTTTTTTTTCGGGTCATCGTTGGAATTTAATCGGAACAGCATCGTTACCATTTGAAAACTGACATTTTCTCACGTTTTAAAAAAAAAATGGCCCTATGATCAACAGATATTTTTTTCAAAAAATCACTACGACGTCATTTTTTAATATTAGGGTCTGAAATTTATACGTGTCGTAGTTGACTACTTTGACTTCAATATAAAAAAGAGTTCGCAATGATGGACCCCCTTTTTCACAGTAAACCTAATTTGCTTGGGCCCCGTAAAATGCTTCCTCCGCTCGACATGTCGCGTAATGGGGGGAGAAAGACCGTGACTCAGTGTTTTCAGTTAGTGCTCGGCGTACCTGCTCAATTTTGAACAGTTGTTTGTTGAGTCGAACGATTCAAGCATTTTACAGGGCCCAACAAAATTAAGTTTACTGTTAAAAACAATCATTTCAGACCGTTTTTTTTATATTGACGTAAAAGTATTCAACTACAACATGTGTAAAAAAAAATCCTTGACTCCTGTCGGCCGTAGGACATTTTTTTTTAATTTGCGAAAAAATGTCGGCTACCAAATGGAAATAATGCCGTTCCGATTAAATTTTAACGATAAAAGAAAGATGGACATTTTTTGACTCGAAAAACAAAGTCAAAGTTTCGGTAGATTTTTCGCATATGTATTTCCAATTATTTTGCAATTTTCACAGGAAAATACAACTCTTTACACATTCGTTTAACAATTGATATCGGGCCGAGTTCAAAAATTTAGTTATAAAAAGTTCTACAACTTTTGTCTTAAAACATTTTAGTTTTGTTTTAATGAAAAAAATTTAGTCTAAGAGCGACTGCAAGATTACTACGTTCATCTGTTTTTTAGTCGAAATACAATTTTTATCAATAATTATGAATAGACGGGTTTGTCTATCAAAATATGTCCGCAAGTATGTTTAACTAAAATTAAATTAATGAATTTTTTCCAAATGTCAGTGAATACGTCAAAAAAAATTTAGTCTTTTGATGCTGTTTCCCGACCGATGGGATCACGACGAGTCGTTATTTTGCTGCTACGTGCCCGTTCGAGCTTTTAGATATTATAGCGTTAAATCTTAATTTGAAATTTTAAATTTTCTGTTTACATCTGCAGAGACCCAAAGTTGCCAATAGCCGTAAAGGCTCCGCACACCGGTAGGCCACTGTAGCTCAATTTGAAAGCCCGCTACTGCGATGCCGAAGGTTCAAATCACGGGTAGGCCGGACTTTTTTTTTTAAAAATTAACCGACCTTTTTTTAGTGCTTTATATATTTCTCTGCGAAATGAATTATAGTTTATATTAAAAAACAAGTGAACGAAATTGCTTGCAAAAAAAAAATAATTTAATTTTAATTAAAAATACTTGTGGCCGTATTTTGACAGGCAACCCGGCAGAAACATATTCCTCTATTCGTAATTATCCATAAAAATTGTATGTTGATTAAAAAACAGATGAACGTAGTAATCTAAAATTAAATCAGAAACATATTTTTTACGAAACTTTCAGAATATGTAGTCTTGGCAAGTAGAATAAGTGCAATTTTGTAAAATTTCAAAATATTTTGCAAAAATTGAGTTTTTCGAAAAAAAAGACATATTTTCGACTTTCGATAAATCGTACAGTAATGCACACACATTTTGTGCTCAGAATTTCCTCTTAGAGTTGTAGTTTCCTGTGCAAATTGTGCGTGTATTGCAAAATAATTGGAAATATGCGAAGAAAGTACCGAAACTTTCGACTTCTCTTTTTGGATTGAAAAACGTAGATCTTTTTCTTATCGTTGAAATTTAATCGGAATGGCATTATTGCCATTTGAAACCTAACATTTTTTTCCGAGTTTGAAAAAAAGATTGTCCTACGACCAACAGAAGCCGAGGTTGTAGATTTTTTGAAAAAAAAATTTTTCTCGGTTTCTGTGGTCGTAGGACATATTTTTTTAAATTCGTGAAAAAATGTCAGCTTTCAAATGCCATTCTGATTAAATTTCAATGATTACAAAAAGATCTACATTTTTCGACACGGAAAAAGAAGTCAAAGTTTCGAAAGATTTTTCGCATATTTCCAATTATTTTGCAATACGCACAAAATATGCACTAGAATATATGTGTTGGAAAAAACTTTAAGCACAAGATGGGTCACGTAAGTGCATTTCCGTATGATTTATTGAAAGTTGAAAAAAAAGTTTTTTTTTTATCGAAAATCACAATTTTTGCGAAAACCATAAAATATTTTGCAATTTTACTAAAATGCACTTATTCTACTTGCCAATGATTGAAATTCTGAAAGTTTCCTAAAAGAAATCTTTTTTCGATTTCAAAATATAGAAATTTAAAAAAAAATCGATTTTTAGCCGTTTTTTTTGCAGTTACTACGTTTGTTCATCAATTGTCATCGGACTGGGCTCAAAATTTTTGTTATGAAACGTTTTACAACTTTTGTCTAAAACATTTTTTTCTAAAACGTTTATTTTTTTTTTTTTTTCAAAATTTTGACACCATATTGAAAATGAAGCCTACCATTCCGCTGGAGCAAAGTAGTTCATTCAATTCTACGGAATCTTTCCTAATTTTTAAGCGTTTTTGTTTAGTGAACTAATTTGGCAAAAAAACGAGGTACTTTCAACAATTTGATCGGTCAAAAACACTTAATTTTTTAAGGAAACTTTTTTTATACAAGGTGTTTGGAAATGAACGGCTCCACTTCAAGGGTAGCTTGCTCAGATGATATTAAACTGATGTAGATCAAGTAACGTTAGTTTTGCTTTGATAAAAAGTTGAAACCCTTAAAAAAATGTTACTTTGTTAATAAAGCCAAAAAAAACTCCTATTTTTTAATTAAAAAAAATGCAATTTTTAAGCATTTTTTTTGCAAAAACCAACACATTTGTTCGTCAATTGACATCGGGCTGGGTTCGAACTTTTTGTTATAAAAAGTTTTACAACTTTCGTCCAAAACATTTTCTTCTGAAATGTTTAGTATTTGTTTTAAATGAAAAAAAACAACAGTTTTTTACGAACGTTGGCCACCATTTTGAAAATACATGTCTTTGTTTGCCAAAATTTTGGCACGTAAAAACCTAATTCGTTTGGATTCTATTTAAAACGGTTCCCGTCGCCCGACCCTCGAACCAAATTTCAGGCGCCACTCACGGCTCGGACGCGTTATATTTCGTACGAACCACCGATATATATATCGTAACGCCGATTAATTTATCCGAATAACATAGACATAGATATCTAACGATGGACTGTTTGTATAAAGCAATTTTTTTATTAAATCGAATAAATGTTAATAAACGTGATAGCAACTGAGATTTCTAAATTATATTTATCTCATTGTATTTTAAGGTGGTGTAAATATAAGTTTAGGCCCGTGTAAATTCTGTACATACATATTGATATTTATTGACGGAAATGCAACTAGTCGTAAAACATCTTTCGTTCTGTAAATATGCTTTTACAGGTAGTTGCAATTTTTTTCTATTGACTGGATCTATGTGTTACTCCCCGTACGCATATCACCTGTTGTACATGTTATTAATTGTAATTAGAAAGTGTTATATATATGTCAGTCAATAAAATAGGAGATTTATTAAATAAAAGCGATGAAAACCTGCAAACCGTCTCTTATTTATCGCCAACTGAGTGCGTATCGAAAAAACAAACGAACGCTAAATAAATCCGGCTAGTATTCATCGAATCAATTTTTTTTAGGTTGGTTAAATAGAGAGGAACTGAATGCAGTTTTGGATTGGTCAGGGCGTTCACTGGGTTTTTTCCGTTATTTTAAGAGCCAAAATTTCTCTTCGACTTTTCCAGAATACACTTTTTTTTTATCAGGCGCAGCAAATACCTCTTCAAGCTTCTCCGTAACAAGAGCCACAAAACGTATAAATTCTTAAAAATCTAGAGAAAATTTTCATTAAAAAGATAAATTTTGGCATCAAAATATTTATCTTTTTTTTATCAGGCCCAAATGACATAAAATTTTAATAAAAGTGACAAAATTTCTTAAAAGTATCAGACACGATAAAAATCTCTACAAGCTTCTGCGATCCCGATACACGAGCCACAAAACGTATAAATTCTTAAAAATCTTGAGAGAATTTTCATCAAAATGATATATTTTGGNCCCGACCTCAGATTGCCCATAAATTATTTTTCCTTTCATTTCTGTTATATTCTCTTCCCTTTCCAATGGGTTTCATCCTACTATAATTTTTTTTTCACTTTTTACCATTTTTGAAGGCTTAAGGCACTGGTCTATTTTTGTTATAAAAACTTAAATTTTTTCTAAAATGTAGTTTCTTTTACAAATTTTTTGAAAATGAAGCCCTACCATTTTTTTCCCAATTTTTACTTATCTTTGTTTACTGAACTAAATTTTGGCAAAAAAACGAGGTACTTTCGACAAAACATTAGTTTTGCTTCGATAAAAAGTTGATACCCTTAAAAAAATTGTTACTCTTTGTTAATAAAGCCAAAAAAACTCCCATCAACGGTACTTTCAACCTTGTTTTACCTTCGGGTCTTTTCTTTGTGTGTATAAATGTGTAATTTTGTACGAGAATTAATTTTTTTAAGTTAAAACTGTTCTATAGCATATAGGCAACCAGCAATACATTTTTATAGATTTTCTTACACGGTTTGTCCAAATATGAATTAATGCACAAATAACAGACTTTCCCCCATTTTAACGTAGTTTTTCTATAAAATGGACTTAGTTTGAACCTCAAATTACTTTTCGGTGTAAAGAAATTTGTAATTCTGAATAAGGGGCATTGTATATTACAAATTTCTTTACACCGAAAAGTACTTTGAGTTTCAAATTAAGTCCATTTTATAGAAAATCTACATTAAAATGTGGGAAAGTCTATTATTTGTGAATTAATTCATATTTAGACAAACCGTGTAATAAATTAAACATGTATTGTTGGTTGCCTATCTGCTACGGAACTCTCAAATTATTTTTTTACGTCCAAATTATAAGTTCGAATTACACAAAAACTTTTGTCTACGCCGTCACCGGACAGCACCCGAAACAAGAAATCTGAAAATTGCAAAAGTAAAGTTTTCCGATCATCAAAAAACAAAATGCGATAATTAATTTGTTAAAACGAGAATGGCCGATTACGTCACCGTTTCGTTTTATTACATTTATTTTAGTTTATCAATCGCCGAAAAAGTGCTTGTATATGAATTTTCGCGATTTTCCGGATGCAATATTAGTTTTTACCGGGATTGAAATAGAATTTAGCGCAGTGTTACGTTTTTAACTTTAATTTTATTATAAAATTTACCGATATTTAGCTTAAAACCTTACAGAGTTATTTATTTCATTATTGGTGACGATACGGTGCGTTTGTGTGTCTTCATCGTTTAAATTTGTAGGAAAACAATTGCGTACGAAAATTAAGAAAAAATGTTGGAAAAAAAGAAATTACGCTCGTAATAAACGGAATCGGAAACCTCGTTATATTTCGTACTCGAACCGCATATATATAAAACGTAATCCCCTTAAAAACGACCTAAGAACTACTGAAATGTTTTCTCTTTATTGGCAGTAGTGGACGTAGTAGTAGTAGAAGTACGATTGGCACAGTTAGGCGAAGCGGGGCCGCCCAGGGCCGTCGGCTTATCGGTTAAGTGGTGGGCCGGGACGGGTCGTGAGTCTCTCGTGTTAGCCGAGGACAGCGAGCTGCTGCTCACACCTGAATCGCTGGATCTCTCGCTCAGGCAACTCCTGCCGATCGAGTTCGGTGTGCCGCCGTCTAGATCGGCGCCGCCGCCACCTACAACATATTTTACCGAAGTGAGCTTTTGGTCCGCCTCGCACTGCTCTTCTAAATTCTTGCGGCCGCTGGCCCCCCGATTTAGAACGTTGTTTCTACGGCACGGGTCCACCAAGGTGGTTTGCCCGCGGACACTTACATAGGAATCTTTCGGTTTTCTCGGCTGCTCGCCGCCCGGGATCGCGTTACTCGGTATATTGGGCTGGTAGGACAGCTCCTCCTTCAGGTTGATGGAGTTCTTCTGGGCCTGCCTCACCCTGGCAAGGATCTCGTTATTGCACTGCTCCACGACGGAGTCCAGGTTGTTCCTGTTGTCGCTAAAGCCGGCGCTGTCGCTTGTATCGGATTCGCCCTGCGGGGACGCGTGCTGGTTCTGGCGGGTGCTCTTTAGCGGGGCGTCGTAGCAGCCCGAGTCTCTGGGGAACTGCCTTCGCCCAAAAGGGGAGCACTTTCCTCCCGCCTCCCGCGTCAGCCGGTGGTGTTCGTCGCACTCGCTGCTCGAGCCCGCTATGTCTCCCTCACTGCCGGCTGTAAAAGACATCGCTTGTTAATTCGCAGCCATTATATCCGTTACGTTTAACACATTCGATAAAAATTATTACAAAAAATTGGAAAACAAAGAGTATTTATGCGTTTATAATATAACCTACACGGAATGTGTCATCTTAAATGTCGTTGCTACTCGATGCCTACTATGCGATGCGTTACTTTGGACCTATTGGAGTAGGTCTCTATGGGAGATATAACCTACAAAGTATATGGTAGTTTCCGTATGGAATCAACGAGCAAATAAAAATTGGCCTCTAATTTTTTTAAAACTTTGACGTTAATCTACCATGAATTTTATAATCCAATCCAATTTTTAGAAATCCAATTGGAGTCCAATTGGGATTCTAGCCCTTCTATATCTTTTTAACTGTTAAAAATATCGAAAAACTAACTGTGGCGTCCCTCTTGCATTTCACCCGAACCGCATTTTTCTAGGACGAGAAATAAAAAAGATACTTGCTGTTCACAAATTTAAAAAGTCATGTGACTTAAAACGTGCCTTAACAAATCCCCTCCCTATCTTTTTNACGAAAAATATCTACAAGCTTCTGCGATCCCGATACACGAGCCACAAAACGTATAAATTCTTAAAAATCTTGAGAGAATTTTCATCAAAATGATATATTTTGGTATCAAAATATTTATCTTTTTTTTTATAAGGCCCAAATGACAAAATTTTAATAAAAGTGACAAAATTTCTTAAAAGTATCAGACAAGATAAAAATCTCTACAAGCTTCTGCGATCCCCATACACGAACCACAAAACGTATAAATTCTTAAAAATCTTGAGAAAATTTTCATCAAAAAGATAAATTTTGGCATCAAAATATTTATCTTTTTTTTTATCAGGCCCAAATGACATAAAATTTTAATAAAAGTGACAAAATATGTTAAAAGTATCAGACACGATAAATATCTACAAGCTTCTGCGATCCCAATACATGAGCCACAAAACGTATAAATTCTTAAAAATCATGAGAAAATTTTAATTAAAAAGATATATTTTGGCATCAAAATATTTATATATTTTTTTATCAGGCCCAAATGACATAAAATTTTAATAAAATTGAGAAAATATGTTAAAAGTATCAGACACGATAAATATCTACAAGCTTCTGCGATCCCAATACACGAGCCACAAAACGTATAAATTCTTAAAAATTTTAAAAAATTTTTCATCAAAAAGATATATTTTGGCATCAAAATATTTATCTTTTTTTTATAAGGCCCAATAAATGACATAAAATTTTAATAAAAGTGACAAAATTTCTTAAAAGTATCAGAAACGATAAAAATCTACAAGCTTCTGCGATCCCAATACACGAGCCACAAAACGTATAAATTCTTAAAAATCTTGAGAAAATTTTCATAAAAAAGATATATTTTGGCAACAAAATATTTATCTTTTTTTTTATCAGGCCCAAATGACATAAAATTTTAATAAAAGTGACAAAATATGTTAAAAGTATCAGATCCGATAAATATCTACAAGCTTCTACGATCCCGATACACGAACCACAAAACGTATAAATTCTTAAAAATCTTGAGAAAATTTTCATCAAAAAGATAAATTTTGGCATCAAAATATTTATCTTTTTTTTNTTATATATATGTCAGTCAATAAAATAGGAGATTTATTAAATAAAAGCGATGAAAACCTGCAAACCGTCTTTTATTTATCGCCACCTGAATGCGTATCGAAAAAACAAAAGAACGCTACATAAATCCGGCTAGTATTCATCGAATCAATTTTTTTTAAGGTTGGTTAATTAGAGAGGAACTGAATGCAGTTTTGGATTGGTCAGGGCGTTATAGTTCATTGGATTTTTTTCATTATTTTAAGAGCCAAAATATCTCTTCGACCTTTCCAGAATACACTTTTATTTTTTTATCAGGCGTGCCAAATACTTCAAGCTTCTGCGATCCCGATACACGAGCCACAAAACATATAAATTCTTAAAAATCTTGAGAAAATTTTCATTAAAAAGATATATTTTGGCATCAAAATATTTATATTTTCTTTTATCAGGCCCAAATGACATAAAATTTTAATAAAAGTGATAAAATATGTTAAAAGTATCAGACGCGATAAATATCTACAAGTTTCCGCGATCCCGATACACAAGCCACAAAACGTATAAATTCTTAAAAATCTTGTGAAAATTTTCATTAAAAAGATATATTTTGGCATCAAAATATTTATCTTTTTTTTATCAGGCCCAAATGACATAAAATTTTAATAAAAGTGACAAAGTATGTTAAAAATATCAAACGCGATAAATATCTTCAAGCTTCTGCGATCCCGATACATGATCCACAAAAACGTTAAGATACAATCTTGACAAAATTTTCATTAAAAAGATAAATTTTCAGAATATATCTTTTTTCTATCAAACTCGGAATATACGAGTAAAAAAACTAGCGACACCAGTAAAATACAGAATATTTTCTGACGGCTTATGCAGCCACTTGTATTGTGTGTTGCCTACAGCTCAAAAACAATGAGCTAAAGAAGAGAATGAAGTTTTGAATTTAGTTATATTATAATTCATCCGAATATTTTAAGATTTTTATGACACCTAAATATTTTTAAGATGGAAATCCAGGAAATTGTCAAAAAATTAAAGTGCTAATTTAAAGGCAGTTTTGTCTCAACATTTCTTTAATATAATGATGTAATGTAATGTGTTGTTCACTTTTAGTGCATTTGCCTATAATCCTTCACAATTCTGTGCTCATTAGTAGACGTCCTTTTTTTTTATTAAGTTGTTAATAAAAAATACAAGTAAAAAACTATCAACTCCGGTAATACAGAAAATTTTGTGAATTACTATGCAACCAAGTATAAACAAGCATGTATTGTATGTTGCCTACCGATCAAAAATGTGAACCGAAAAGAAAAAATTGAAAATCTTGAAAACTGGTGGAGCTACATAGGAGCTGAATACAGTTTTGAATTTGTCAGGGCCGTTATTGGAATTTTTTCAGATTTTTCCAAGTCCTAAAATTTTTTGTGAAAATCGCCGGACCCATGAAAGTTTTCAAAAGATTAAAGTGCCTTTCTAGAGGCGGTTCCGTATGTATCTAGGGTCGCTACACATGCTGTGATGGTCGGTTTTCGTGCAATTGACCCGTTAAGAAGAAAAATCTTTATTTATTTTGTGCACATTTCCGTTGGAAAAGTAAGCGGCGCCATCTATACAGTAATAGCTCAACTAATTTACCAGAGAATATAACTGTTACAGTGGCTATTTACTAAAGAATTCTTCCGCGGTTTAGTGCAGTTTTCGAACAACAGATGGCGGCATGGAAATTTGGAACTATTTGTTGCATCTTGATTGGTCAATCGATACAAGTGAGTGTTCCATTTCACTGAACTAATAATTGATTGGAATGTTGCGTTTTTAATTACACGAAAATTTTCAAAAAATTAGTGTAGTTCTAGATCTAGAGGCGGTTTTGTATGCATCTGGGGTCGGCTTCTATACAAGTTTTTATTAAAAATGATGTGTATTTAAGAAAAAACTGTGTGATTTACATTATCTGTACTGTAAAAAGGCATATAATTCCAAATAAATAAAAAACTAATATGTTTCCAATGGTTTATTAGTTCAATATGTGATGTATGTATAAAAAAGTACAAAGGAATTGTCATTATACCACAAAATTCAGTTCTCCGACAGATTTCAGTCGCCTTAAACATATATATCACCCTTATTTTTAATTTTCCCGAAACCTAACAAAAATATAAAGCATTATAAACATTTTTTGTGATGTAACCTATTTAGGAATGTGTATAATGATACAAAATTTTTTTAATGATTTTCGAAGTACTTCTTCTTCTCGATGGGATTCGGAATGATCTGAAATAAATTGCATTCTCAATCGTTTTTTACAAAAAGGTATACACAGGGTGTTCCAATTTCTACGCATAGGAGACATTAGCGTAATAGGCAAAAAACAAAAGACGTTGAAATGTTTCTTTGTCAAATAGGCGGCAGAAGTCACAATTTCTTTAAAATTGTGAACCCCTTTTCGAAAAATTATTTTGAAATTTTTCTTATTTGAAATCTAACAATACAACATTATTCTACAACCCTCGATATAAGCCTACTACGATTTTTTATTTTCAAGATGCAAAAAAAATTATAAATTGTGCAAAATTTGACATGAAAATGAAAAAATTTACATACCGTGTCCTGGCCAGGCTTCCACCCTGCGGGACAAACTTCCCCGTGCTTATCCGTGTACTGGAAGGCCTGGACGAGCCTGAGCGTCTCATCCACACTCCTACCGACCGGCAAATCGTTCATAGTAATCTGTCGGAGGATCCCCTTGGGATCTATTATGAACAACCCCCTAAAAAACGCAATAGCTCTCGATATGCCACGATCTACTCATCGACTCACCTAAGGGTATGCCCTAAATCTTCCAGAAACACGCCGTACTCCTTCGATATACTGTGATTTAAATCGGAGAGCAACGGAAGGTTCACTTTTCCTAACCCGCCCTCCTTCCTCGGCGTGTTAATCCAAGCGAGGTGAGTGAAGTGCGAATCAACCGAACACGCTACGACTTCCGTGTTAATCTTCCGGAACTCCTCTATCCTGTCGCTGAAAGCGAGGATTTCCGTTGGACACACAAACGTGCTGGAACATACAATTTAAGCTAGGCTTCCAACGGTATTGCACCACTTACAAATCTAAGGGATAGAAGAAGAAGACCAGGTACTTCCCCAGGTAATCGGTCGATTTCAATTGTACAAACTCCCCGTTTACCACTGCCGTGCTCTCCCATACAGGCGCAGGTTTTGATACTATGGGAAGAACAAGATTTAAAAAGAGGGGCAACAAAACATTACCTGGTCAAGCTTACTGACTGCTTTGGTCCACTGCAACTTATGTTCCGCTCGTTCGGGGTTGGCAGTGTGGGGGTACACACTTCCCCCTGCGTAAGTCTGGCAGGACTCATCGTCAGGCGTCGCGCCTAGCACAAAAACGGCGTTTAGAAGCAGGTAAGTTAACACCCTAGGCCACATCTTGACAACACTTGTCACATACACGAAAATTGGGAATTTTGTAGATAAGCAATTACACCTTTGATTTTATTTTATACTGACTATCCTCTGTATTAATTATACAAACATGTGCAGGAAGTTTTTCTTCAAATTATATCCAAACAACCGGCCGATTCTTAGATCACTTCCGTACCAAAACACCATTTGAGAAAAACGAGAGGTTTTCGACCGCCAGCGTTGTCAGTGTTATGTTAAATCTTTAGATTTAATACTCCAAACGGCATATTTTGTTCTGTTCCGTATTGGTACTGCCTTTCAATTACAATTATAATATGACACCTATAAAGCTAGCTAAAAATTGTAAATTGTAAAACAAATATACTACATTAAAAACGAATTCGGCGTAATTACACTAACTTAGTTTCTCTATTATAGTTCAATATATGACAACACTGTCCTCCTCCAAAATTTAAATACTGCACTTCAAATTCCAGATAAACATTATTGATAAAGTAATTTATTCTGATAAAAATGGGAAAAATATGTATTAATATATTGATCGACGATGTAGTAGACAATATTATCTATTCTATTAATTTTTAATTTTTATTTATTTTAATACACTATTTTACTACTGTTGCTTTTGTATATAGATTTATTCATTTATTTGCTGTCATGGCAACTCATCAAATAAACAACCTAGATTATTCAAATCAAAGCACACTTGATCAGACTGCCCTATTTCATCTTAAACAATAATTAGTATATTCATTTAATTGCTAACCTAGATAAATTGATTGCTAATGGATTCAGAAAACGACAGTGTTAAAAGCCATACCGAATCCGAGGAAGACGATTTAGGCTGTTATTGTAAGTATTAATTTCATTTAGCTCAAATGTCTATTGATCAAATGTACAAGGTGGACCAATTTTGATTAGAAGGAAAAAAGTTTCTTACGTGGTATTCAATTTTCAAGAATACTTTTCGTCGTCAGTACAACTTTTAGGCAATAAAACTCCTTTGTGCCGCTAAATATAAAAAATTGAAATAGGTAATGAAGAAATAAAATATAAGTAGGTATTTATATCAAGGTAAACATGATCAAATTTGTTGTCAATTAGCGTGATGAAAAGATGTCATTGCGTTAGTTTGATAACCAGAAATAAATTCTGAAAATTTTGCTGTTTGAAATCCTATTATATCTAAAAATTAAGAGCGAAATAATTTTTTTTAATTGCGAGTAACATATTTCCTATTTTCAATCATTTCTAACGACGAGGTTTGTATAAAAGTTTAACATCCTCATCCTGTATCTTTTATCCTCTTCCTCTTCTTCTCAACTTGTTTAACAATTGACATTTCTGCCAATCTCGTTACCAACATAACAACGGGCGGCATATTCGAATGTAGGTACAATAATATGCCTATGTTTAAAACATAGCTAAGTTTCAGAATGTTAAAAGTACATAACTCTGTGTTTCTTCTAGTTCTGCAACCATCCTCAGCACCGTACAACATCACGGAGAAGGTGCAGCAAGCAAACGTTGACTTATTCAATACCCAAGAGAATCGAAACGTAGAAAAGACAGCCAAAGTAAAATTTCGAGAACTGATATCATTCGAACCAGATCTAACAGATGATGATGTCAACAGTATAGAAAGCGATCGCACAGAGCTGTCACTCGAAGCCCGTCCAACGATCTTGGAATACAAAACGACCATCAACAGTGAACATTTAACCATATTTAATATTGAGGAGGACGTGGAAGAATTGGATGAAGTCCTCGAAGATGTAGACAGTGACACTGAGTACAAACCCGAGATCAAAGTTAGCACTGCCGTCGCTGAGAAAACAGTTGAAGGTGATAAAACCGCTTCGTCTAGAAAAGAATCTAGCAAGCGTAAGAGAATGTCAAAGAGTAAAGCGGCTTTCCTGAACCCCCAAGAAGTGAACTGTAAGGATCACTGCGTAGACAGACTTGATTACGATTTGTCTGTGTCCATCAGAAAGCTCGAAATCCAAGACAAACTAACCCTGCCGCCTCTTCAATTATTGCAAAGGAAATGCTGTGACGAGGCCAAGAAGAAGATCCACCTGAACCTGCCGCAGTACAACGGATTGAGGTCTGAGTACGGCCTCACATCTAGACAGCTAGAAAAGAGGGAAAAGCAAAAGGAGATGTTGAAAATGAGAGACCGCTTGCATCAACAACTGATGGAGGAATACAAGCGTAGGAAGATTCAGCAGAATGAAGAAGTGTTCTGCCAGTGGCTGAAGGAGGTGTCTAAGAGAAAATCCGAGAAGAAATCTACCAATAAGAGAGCTGCTAGCGCGAAATTAAACAGTGGCGTTAGTAAACCAGAGAAGAAAATTACGGAGAGACCCAAAACGGCCAACGCGTTCGTCCCCAGAACGAAACCTAGGAAGAAACGACGGCCACAGTCTACAAACGCACGTGTCTACATCGAAGTTCCAAGGAGTTGCCTGGAAAAACATCTGCGTATCGGCGATCTGACTATCACAAACTCGAAACTGTTTTCCAGAAACGTACACATTATTACGATTTCATAATAACAACCAATAGTGGGTGTATTAAATTATTATTTGAGATTTTTTCTTGTAGTAACAGAAATTAAATTAAAAAAAATAAATCGTTCTATTAAAAAAAAATCAAACAGTATTTATTAAAATTCATTGTATGATTGTAAAAAATTGTTATTTTATAAACATAGTATCCATTTTTTATATTTCGGGCATCCTGTAATGAATCGTAGGACCCGAATCTTTCTATCAGGGACGTTAGGAATTATTTCAGCAGTTAAAAAAATTGTGGAATTGTTGAGGAATATTTTGTTGCAACGTTGGCGAAACTGTTGCTAACGTTCATCCCTGCCCTGTATCCTGTATCTATTCAGTTCTGTGGGTCTGTTAGTCTATGGGTCAACGACTGATATAAAAATAAATACCGTTGTGATGTAAATATTATTGTCCCCAAACGGTGCCTTTTATATAATTTATTATTTTTATCTTATCTAGTTAAGGAAATTTAATACAATTTGAATACAAATTTACGAGCTTTAACTTATTAGGACTCAAAATGAGTAGCATTGGCTAACCTGCTCGAAATAACAGTGAAATCCCGTCCTTTGCATTTCTTGCAGAAATCGCAGGAAAGGGAAGTTAAATTTGTCGTTTATATCTGTTACTTTACATTTCTTTACTCTGTGAGTATTAAAAAAACAATTGCAGTTTTTTAATTTCATTCATAGCTTCGGTGAACTGTCATATGACGAACCTTCAGGACTTCTAAACTTACAGAAAAATGACGCTCCAAGTGCACCCCATCGCTCTCGGCTGTATGCTGGTCGTGGCAGTTGGAACGTTGATCTACACTTACATGACGACTAGACAACAGGCACAAGAGCACAGTTACGGTGGCAGTAGTAGATCCAGACGAGACATTTACGAAGACCCACCTTTCGGAGTTTCTAGATCTTCTTCCTGGTCAACGCTACCCGATGACAGGGAACCGTGAGTACCAATTTCCTGCCTTAAAGCATATTTTACTCGTGTCTCTTTCAGTCCGTCTCGGAAAAAGAAGCGTGACATTTGCACGATCTGTTTGTCACCTCTTAAGTGGGATATGAAGACTTTAACCTGCTCTCACGTTTTCCATTCTCATTGCATAACCATGTGGCTAAACAAGAAGAACACCTGTCCTCTTTGCCGCACAGAAACACATATTTAATTTTTCTCTCTTTTGATATATAAATAGTAAATTAGTACAATAAAGATATTATTAAGAGTGGAATTCTTAAGGTAAGAACAATAAATCGAGTGGTTTGATATAATTAAGTATTGTTTCATGAAATAATTATAAAATAAACCCTTCTTTTTGTTTATAGATAGAAATATTTTGTAAATTTTTGTTGTAACGAGTACATTATGATTTTTCAGTAGTTATTTGTACAAATAATTTCATATTCAGTTAATTCGAAAATTTCTGCTGTAACTTAAAATTTTAGCTAAAATAAGTTAGATCGTAGCGAGATTCACTTTATAACTTGACGTTTCCGCATTGCAACACTTTTTCCTTCTGTATAGATTTAAAATGATGCCAACTGCTTGAAAACAATCTTGTGTGCGTGTGTTTTCTAGCTAGTTGCTAATGTTGTGATAAATTACAAAGAAGTTTGCGAAAAAAGTGACTTCCATTGTGATATTAATTAATTTAATCTTAATATTTTGCAAACTTGCTGTTAATTTACATGTAGGTTAGTTTTCGGTTTGTTTAGATGTATGTGGTGGCCTTATTAAAATTGATAATAAAGATTACATTACGATTTGATTAATTTTATTTTATTCGAAAACCTAGAATCGTCTGGAAAGGTATCCTTTAAATTTTTCAGCCCTTTGACGACGCATTTGAACTATTTCATATTACATGCATTTAAAAATTTTTCAGATCCAATCATCGTATCCTTAAAAATTGGAATTAGAACATTCATTCTCTCGTATTTTAAATTTCCCACCAAAGGGAACCAATCAAATAAAAGATCTTTGTTGACGGCTGCTACCTTGCTGCCCTCTAGCCGCGATGGACAAGTTCGGTTTCTTGAAATTGCATTGGCAGCCCTGTGCGTGGCAATACCATTCGGGGAGACTAGACAAGGAGAAAGGAAACTGAACTTCTACGGGAAAACTGACAAAACTTGTCAATGTAATGGTAGAAATTACATATAATTTTTTCCACTAGGCTCGCTAGTTTTCCTTTTACACAAAAGCTAACGTAGTATGATAAATACGAGTAAAGTAAGCAAACAATCAATTTTATTTTAAAATGAATAGAAGTATAGTAACCTATAAATTGAAATAAATATTGCAATTTGTTTTTAAGAATATATTAAATAAAAATGTTCATCTCCTTCACTATTCCAGTGTATATAGGACACTAGCGCACTCCAATTTGTTTACGTTTACTTGAGGGTGTTTCGATTTGGCAAAAATAGTAGCTAATAGCAACTTAGAGTTACTCTGAACTGGTATTAGTTGCTAACAGATCCTATTTTTGTCAAAACGAAAGCCCCCATGGAGTTCGTTGACGTTCTCCTTGTGTAGTCTCCCTGACCATTAACATTGGCTAGCCTGCTCAAAATAGCAGTGAAATCCCGAACTTTACATTTCTGCTAGGATATCCAAGGAAAAGGAAGTTAAGTTTATCATTTATACCCCTTCCTTTGCTTTGTGAGTATTAAAAAACCAATTGTATTTATAAGGTTTCAGTTATAGCTTCGGTTAAGTTTGTTTGACGAACTTTCACGGATTCTGTGTTTTCAGAAAAATGCCTCTTCATATGCACCCCATCGTTCTTGGCTGTATTCTGGTCGTGACAGTTGGAACAGCCATGTATACTTACATAACGACAAGACAACAGGACCAAAAATACAGTTACGGCAGCAGTAACAGATCAAGACAATGTAGTTTCGAAGACATTTCTAGAGCGTCTTCGTGTTCAACAATATCTGACGACAGTAAACAGTGAGTACTGATTTCATAACTTAAAACAAATTTTACTATAGTGCCTCTTCCAGATCATCTAGGAAAAGGAAACGCGATAAATGTATGGTCTGTTTGTCATCCATAACAACGGATTCGTATGCCCTAAGTTGCTCGCATGTTTTCCATTTTAATTGCATAAGCAAGTGGTTGAAAGAGAATAATACTTGTCCGAGTTGTCGGCAAGAACCCATATTTAATTTGTCTTTGAGTACTTTGAAAGCAAAGCACTTATAAAAAAATAATTATTGACAGTGATATTCTTAAGGTAAGCGTCATTTCATGAAATTATTACAAAATACTTTTTTTGAGATAAATTTTGTGTGTTCTATTTAGGTTTAAAAGGATCGCAACTACCTAAAAGTATCCTCATTTACTTACACGTCTTTTAGATAGTTGCAAATATTGTGATAAATTACCAAGAGGTTTGCAAAAAAAGTGACTTTCCTCGTGATATTAATTATTTTCTTCTTAATATTTTGCAAACTTGTTAATTTATATGTAGGTTTGTTTCCAGTTTTAGATGTAATGTGACCTTACTAAAATTGATATTAATAATTTGTATACTAAAATTGATAATAAAAATTACATTAAAATTTAATTCGATTTATTTTGAGAACCGTGAAGAAACGACATCTCTTCTATATTTTCCATCCCTTTATTAATCTAGCAATGCGTTTACTCCACTTTTCAGCTATTTAAATTTAAATTTACCAAAATATATCCGCAAAGGCTCTTTTTCGTAGGGAAATCGAACTATTAATTAATTACACAGCATTGGAAAGATGTATCGAATATTCCGGTATGGAATTACATTTGATACTGGAATTTAAATTAAAGTAACATTCCACAGAGTTATAAATTCATTCTTCTCTCCTATTTCACCTTAGTGGTAGAAGAATCATGCAAAAAGTAAGGCTTATCAAAACTACACGGAAATTATATCAACGTTCCGTGATATCACTAACTTCATAAAATAGTGTTGGCCACTTATCAATAATAAACAAATAACAGCATATGTAAACCAGCATATTATGAGCGGAAATCTACAAATTTATTATACATAGGTATCGGTAAATATTACATAAATACACAGCACTGTAAAGACTAAGTAAAAATGAATTAAATTGGTATAATGTAACCTTATAATATTTACAATCAAATTACGTAATTGGATAATAAAAATTTGAATTTATAAAAAAACGCAAAGCATGTCCATTTTTCCAACTAAATTTTCAAATNATTCTACAAACTGCATGTTCCTGCCTGTTTTTACATAAATGTCGCTTTCAACCAGTGTTGCCAACCTCCGTCAAACAATACTCTGCGCGGGGATTTAAAAAATTCTGCTGAATTATACATTTTTTTTTTAACTTATGTATAAACACAAATACTTATGTATAAATACAAGTAATAGAGAAAAAATATATATTTTATAAAAAATAAACAATATTGTTATTTTTAAGACATTATGTTTTAATGTTTCATATTTCGTTTAAATGTAGTTTTCATTAACTGCAAGTGAGACTTATTTACTACATAATCATAACATTTTGTGCTATCATTTTCTAGTTTTGATCTTAGTACACACATATGGCAATAATAGAATTTACACCAAGGCGGTTTGTTTTTTTTGTTTTCATGTCAGTCACCAGTGAAAATATCCTTTCTGCCTCTGCATTTGAATGTGGCAAAATTAATACCAAATTTGCTAGTTGGCATAGATTTTTAAATAGAAATTCTCCGGGCTCCGATTTTTCTTTTGCAAGCGTACTCCAAAATTTATCTGGAGTTAATGAGAGTTAATTTTAGGTTTCTCAAAATAAAATTTTAGATTTCTAAGCTCAGATTCTATTTGATTAGAATCACACGTTTTAAAATGTTTGTTGCAGGCAAATTATTGAAAATATACAGATTTTGTATGTATTATTATTATTGTGACTACGTAAAAAATCTTATTTTTGAATTAGTAATTTGTGAGTTTATTTTTTTTAACCTATAATTAATAAAAAATATGCGTTTTACGAAATTATTCTTCAACTCTGCAACGACCTTTAAAAATCTGCTAAATGCAGAAAAATCTGCAACACTGTCACGAAGTTCATAAATTAATTCCCGAGTTTATTTGTAAACACTGCTACAGACTTCGTGAATTTCTTTGACACATGAATCAGTTCTACCAACAAATAAAAGAAGCAAATAAATTTCAAAAATGTCACCTTTCCACTCATAATTGTAGTGGTACAACAGCGGTACCGTTTTGACACATATTATATAAATATGTATTAGTTTTTGTAAGTAACAAATCGGTAAAAACAATACAAAACTAGTACGACGCCACACAATTATTTACATTTTTCAAATAACATAACCTCATTCAATACCGATCCGATCTGAGGCTGGAAATTTGTTGGGTTGGTAATTCTGAACTTCATGAAGAAATTGACGAAAATTAGAAAAATGTTCTAATTCGTCAAGTTTAATGAGTAAATCATGAAGTTATTTGACAGCAGATTTGGTGCATTAGCTTGTCCAATTTTTTGATGAAACGACTTCATGCATTTATTCATCAATAAATTATTTTCAACGTAAAACAGCTTTCAGATTATCATTAGATACCTATTAAAAGTTAAATTAATCATAAACATAAATAATAATAAACACATTCCAATTAAAAATTACGTCACAAACTTTATTCCAGTTAAAAAACAATTAAAAGCATTAAAATTCTATAGTATTTGATTCATTTCTGTAGATAATCTAAAACTAAATAAAAATGTAAGCTTCGAGTTCTTGTTTGTGGTGTATTTCCTTGTTATTAGTTGTGTGAAAAAATTATTAGTAGACAAAAAACGTATCGAAAACGAAAAATTTCAAAAAGTTGGAATTAAGTTGCCTTTTACACCTAACAAAGTAGGACGTACGTTATAAACAAATTGTCCCAAGGCCAGGCAAAAGCCGCTCGGAAATTCGCTCTTTTTGCATTAAATACCCGTCACAAAGTGCAATAAATGACTACTTATAATTTTTTCAAGTTTTCAAGTATTAAAATCTAATTCGCCTGGAATACTAACAGCAATTATTGCAAGAAAAGCGAGAATTTGTCGCCCCTTGGGCACGATTGAAGGCGACCGCTCGGCACCCCCCCAAATTTCATAATCGCCGTTTAAAAGCGGCCCGAGACCACCTTAAGGACGTCTGCGCGAACCGGCGTCGCCGGGCGCGTCGGGACGGCCGCGGAGCAGCAATCGATGCGCCGTCGTCGCCGTCGGTTTCATTCAATCGCGCCCGACACTTCACGCGGGGCGGTGGCGGTGCGTTCTCTCGCGCCTTCCGTTTACATAGAGGCAATCGAGGCACCTGAGAAACCAACAAACGACACTCGATAGGCGGGCGAGGTCGATAAACCCGTTTTGGGACTGAAATCTACTCGGCGGACGGGCGGCAGGTGAGTTCAATTGTTTGCTATGTTGCGTTGTGGGTTGTGGCGAGTGTGTTTAGCGCGGGTGGCTTCATATCCCCCGCTGCTTAGGTACTATGAGTTAAAGGTAACGCGATTAAGATGAAGACTCGTGTTTTAATACATACCTTTTTTATGTTTCTGTAGAGCTACAAATTATTCTTCACTGCACTGATCGGGGATTCAAATGCACCAACTGAACTTTCTCTAATTCTACATAAAAATAGCTTTAAATTAATAATACCTTCACGCAACTGTAAAACACTTTTGTTTACGTATAGGTCAAATTCTATTTCAATTTTTTTCACGTTCGAACGTACTGTTTTGTCAAGGTTAATGGCTTTATGATTTTTTTTTTAATTAATACATTCAAGAAGTTTAGGAGAAAGTGTAAATGAAGCAGATCTTATACCTACCCATACAGCAAGTTAATTAACTTTTTAACATTGTTGAGGTCGATTAAAATGTTTATAAAACGCTAAATTCGTAGTTGATTATACTGTTACTGTTTACTTTTACTGTAACATTTCATTTTACGATACCTGTTTCTGCTTACTATATTGGCATTTTACAATTCAATGTGAAACCGGTAAGTTCCAGTACTTCGATCATCTCATAGAAAATTAAAAGCACAAGAACCTTGAACCTTCAGTTTTCCAAGAAATCGAAGATCCTCGCGATAATTTTATCTATTTACGGTACACTGAAAGTCGTTCTTTTTGTTACAGACAGTTTGTTTTTACCGGTTCGCCATCCTGTCATATCATACTAGGTGTGAAGTCAATTGGCTTTTCAGAAAGCAATATAATATTTTAATGTTTGGCGCTTCGTCCACAGTGATATCTAAAAAAATATGGTGACTTTAAAGTAACACAGCGCTAAGCCATACAAAAGCTATGTCTTATTAAATTATTTTAGGTTCGTATTCAGAGAAACACATACTGTGCCCCTTACAAACTACCTTATTTAGAATTTTTTTTCCCAAAATTAGCGATAAGAAAGTTATTGTCTACATTTATTTCCAATGTTATTTGGTTAATAGTCTTTTCCAAGCATATATCGAGTTGGACAATGAAAAATTGTACAATTTTTTAAAAACATAATTTTTTCAAAGTAGTTCTGGTAAAGGAGCCTTATATTTGTTCTATTATGTCTTACATTTTACATTACCCCCAAAATGTATATCCCGAGGCCGATCTAAATGGGGAAAGATTGAGTCGTCACCTCCAACCTTTCCAGTGCCGCTCTTGACATTCAAAATTAATGCAGCGACCAACCTCGCTGCGTCTTCACGCCGGACGAGGAGCGTGCCCGAGATTAACACGTCTGCAAGCCAAATAAGCTGTTGTACGTTTTATAATAAACGAGCCTTTAGGAAAATTACTCCGGATATTAGATGTGACAAGATGTCTCGGACAGGAACTACGTCATAAGCGAGCGAGACTCGTTTTAAATGGGATGAAAGGATTAGAATGGTTCGCCTTTATATGCTTTTGTAATAAAGAAAATTCCAGTTATTGCGAGGCCACAGCTGCGCGACGTTGGAAATCGGTTTGTGAGGTCGTTTATAAAATTTTGGATGGATATGTGATACATTGTTGTCAAAGTTATTAAGGAACTGAGAATTTCTTACAATATACTCACTGTTTTCTATAATTCTTCAAAAGTTGACAATAATTCATTGTCCGAAAATATCATTTTTGAGACTTTATTGCAAAAATTTTTGGTACTTCAATTCATATCTTTCATGTCTATCTTACAATTAGCAAAAATATGTATTATAACGAGCGTTCAAATAAAAACGTGGTCAAGTTGGTTCTGAAAATTTGGACGTAGGGCGTAGCGTATAGCAAATGAACTTAAACGTCATCTGTCAAAGCGCTATATCGCCGCTATCAATTTGAATATTTTCGTTTTAAAAAGCGTTTGAAATGGTGTTTTCTCAAGAACAAAAAGTGTTTATCATAGAGTCCTACTTTAGAAATGGACGCAAGATTGATGGAATATGGAAGTATTCTATTGAGGAATGTTTCATATAATTTCAAAATCAATTTCCCGGCGTTGTTGAGTATAAAATTTTTCAAAGTGCAGTTCAGCGTTGTGTTAATGTTTTTCGTGAAACGGGCAGTGTATCAAGAAAAGAAGGAAGCGGCCGACCTAAAAAGCGGACTGAAGAATTAAAAGAAAATGTCCAACAAATAATGGAAAATGCGCCAAGAACTTCTGTACGTTTTATCACAAATGGTGGGAGTATCAGTCGGTACCTGCCACACAGTGTTAAAAAAAGCTCCTTTAATTGTTTGTTATTGTTATCACGATTATTCTTTAAAATAAAGTTATATAGTCATTAACGTTATTGAAACTAACAGATGCTATACAGCTCGTTGAGAAATGAGGTTAAGTTGGTCCAATGTGTCAGAGCCAACTTCGACCTCGTTTTTATTTGAACGCTCGTTATTTTTATTTAGAATTTGAAATTGATGGAAGAATATTCAAATTTTTTTCCACTTGAAATTTAAAAAAATCGCTGAAACAGGTCAATTAATAAATAGAAATTTGTTACTTTTCTGCAATATTTTATATTTTTTTGAAACAAATAATCTTCAGTAGTAAAACTACATTATTGTTATTTTTAAAATTATTTGAAACAGAGAAACTACGTTCTTGTAGAAAAAATATTGAGCGTAAATGAATTTGAATACTTATATTATGAATTTTGGATATTTTTGGTGATTATATTGATAGAATAATAATTGTCGATGAGGTGTAATATCAATTTGTTCAATTGAGTGCAAAAATTGAATCCAAAACGAAAAAAACAAAAATTTACCTTTTTACTTCAACTTCAATCGTGAATAACATTTGCAGGAGTAAATTTATACAAAACTGTTAAGAGACCTTTTTTGTAGAGCATTAAATTTCCTTTGAAAATCTGTATTGTTCTTTTTCAGATATTAATTTGTTCGTTATTTACAAAATTCCAAAGTTAAAAAGTCAAATCGAAAAAACATATCAAATTTTCAAGGCTTGATTACATGGAAACGGCTTGTATGCCGAAAATTTTCAATCAGACCTTTTTTGTAGGGCATTCAATTTCCTTCAAAAATGTGTAGATAATTTTTTTTACCTCGATGGTATGGCAGTTTTGACGCAAAAATGGGATCAGGAATAATAAATCGAAACTAGCGATGGTAGACCTTACCTACTCATTTGTCATAGTTACCAAGAAATGGAGGGATTAAATGAAAATGATTATTTAGTACTATTTTTTATTTTCCGAAGGTACTCTGGTGAATTCTATGTGTTTATTGATGTTTTTTTTTAAAGCTTTAAAGTAAGTAGAAAAATATTAATAAAAAGTAGGTACGTTTTTAAAGTACAGAAGAAACTATGATTATTTGGAATAGTCGTCAGTACAACAGGAACTAAATTTGGCAACAACGTTAAAGATATAAGCTTCTGTAATTTGATTCAAGTGCAGTTAATTTTAACACTAGAACTGCTCACATAACTAAATAACTTTGTCGATTATGAGGAAATAAAATAAGACGGTAGGCTACTTTATTTTAAAATGAGTATTTCTAGGCAACAAATGTATAAAATATTATGAAATTTTGAATTTAAAAGTATCTTACTCGATTTGAAATATATTTTGTAGAAATATTTTCTCATAATTTTTAAATTTTATGTTCTTTTACATTTAATCAGAAAATTGGGCATCATTTCGTCAAATAAGCCGACTATTCAGATGATATTTTGTATAATCTTATTAATGTCTACAATTTTATTAAAAAAATATTACTCCACCTAACACGTCGTCGTCACGTGACGAGACCAGGAAACTATATTTTTAACCGGGAATTAAAAAGTGTTTATTTTTACGGGCGTTATTTCGGACCCCATTAAAAACTACTGCCACGGATTGAGAAATCGAATGGAGGAATTCGTAAATAAACAAATGTTTGAAATAGTAGATAAACAAGTTATTATCGATGTGTTGTATAAATAATGCCAAAGCATTATAAACAATTTTTGCTATTAAAAAAGAAACAACACATTAATTTCGCTCTGTTAAATTAAATTCAACGTGCTTAAATTTTTCTTTATGAAAATATTGAGATTTATCCGTTTTGTAAGTACATTTTAGCTCTCCCGAATTGATCCCATGTTTTGAAACATGCTAGATAGATTATAGAGATAGAATAGAACGAAAAAAATAACCTTCACCCTTGCGCACCCCTCTCGTGATCAAAATGTTCTTGTCAGTGTATATTTTTGATTCCTTGAAAGCTACCAAGTTCAAATTCGACCCGTTAACAACTGTATTTGCTGTTTGTTTAGGTGTAGAGAGCCAACTTCGGATCGTTTGATGTTAAGATGAAAATAATTTTATGAGGAGCTAATTGCGGCCGAGTTTATTTCTCTAGATTCCCCCTTTCCACTGAAAATTACAGTAGCAATTCGAGCTATAAAATTACACCCGTAATGATATATTACTCCGTCGGATCGTTAGTTTGAATAAGTTTCCATTTGCGTCACTCCAAATCGTTTCATCTCCTGCTTGTGAAAATCTATACAGGATTCTGAAAAGTGTGTGGGAAGACGCGGCTTGTTATCATCCTCAAAGGGAAACGTAATATACAGCACGTGCTGGTGGTTTCGTGGAACTAACTATTTAATTCTGATTTCCGAATCTATTCAAATTCATTCTATACGGTACAAAAAATAACCCGCTTTAAATGTATCGATGAGTCGGCAGTTTTTTTTTGTATAGCTTCTGCCGTCGCCGTAAAGTGAAGAAATTGCTTGGAAAATATGAGAGAAAGGAAAATAAAAGCCTCCATTGATTAGCAATGGCGGCGAGCGAATTTTATAACTTTCGTATAAATTACGAAGGAGCACAAAAACAACAATGTGACCTATTTCCTTAAGAAACAGTGGCCACTAAAAATGTTATTGTCCGCCGAGTGAAACGACGTCTCAATTTAAGTGATTTTAAATAAAAAAAAGAATAAAATACGCGAGGATTACAATTTTATTGCAGACATTGAGGACGCGGAGCACCACCAGACATGTTTTAGCCAACCATGACCCGTGACGGGGACATCCCGACCATCTTCAATCCCCGAGGTCGAAACCGAGCTCCCAGCGTCGTTGTGACCGACGAGGGCGTCGCCAATGGACCCTTCGCGCACGCCGACTCCGTCAGCAGCCAGCAGGAGTCCGGAGAACCCTTGTCGCCGGCTCCCACAGGTTGCGCGGGGCGCATCAAGTCCTGCTCCACCTCGCTCTGCTCGAAGTCGGCCAGAAAGGTGAGCGCAGTTAATACTAACCCGCCGTCCCTTCCTACGCAGCATTTTTAAAGCCGTTATCCAAAATTATCGAAGTCTAGAATGGTTTTTGCGTTGATTGTATGAAATAACTTTACATTTGCCTAGAATCAGAGATTTATAGAAGTAATAAATAACAATGTCCCCAGAACTGACCCTTGGGGAACCCCTGATTATTGATGATTGAAAGCCCTGATAATGTTGCAGTATACGCAGTATTGTGGGTATTTTTTAACAATTTTTTAATTATATGGCACCTTTTGATATATTTAATGTTTTTTAAACATTTAATATTGTTTCACGCCCAAAAATATTGCGTGTATTTAACAGGGTGCGTGTTTAGGTTCTTAGTCGTGCATCAATCACGGCTCTTAATTGATTTGTCAATAAGGTCAGGGTGTAAATCATTCCTTGTACCCTTAACAGATTTAAAAATTGTAAAATCGCACTATGTACTTGTGTAACATAATACGAAAGGAAAACCGATGCAATGAAAGATTTAATGGCTACAGGTTTTTATTTCGCGGTGGGTTTGTCGTTCGGCCGAACTGAAAAGCTTCAGCCTTCAGCGAGGGACGTACAGCGCTTTTTTTGATTAATTGATGTTCCCTCAATTGGATGTTATAAGTTTCCATTCTGTTTTATCGACTTTTCAGAGCGAACGACAAGCTCTCGCTATGTAAGGGGAGGCACTACTAAAACTGTTAGTTGTAAATTACCTTTAAATTGAATTGGTTAACTTTGTTCCTAGGCTATGAATCCTTCGTGATTGTATATTTAAACTAAAAAAATATCAACCCCGAAAGACTGGGATCTGGGTATATATTTAGAAAAGTAATCATGTTTACAAACACAACGCGTTCTGTGTTTGTATAATTTGTGTATATCCTTCCTAGCAGCAGTTTCGGTTTTAGTACGGAACATTTTAGTCGAAGCCGTTTCCACCAACGGTTGAAAAATTGATTTCTTAAAATGACGGTATATAATATTTGGATAAACATTATATAAAAATATTTTTTTTAAATAATCTGTGACTGTCATTGCTCTATGGAGTCTCTAAAAAAAAGCTTTCGCAATCAGCAACTTGCCGAATAAAATTTCAAAAACCTGAACACGCTTTGATTCCATTCTAAAAAAAGGCCCATGTTTGAGATATTTGACATTTTTTGGCGCAACTTTTTTAAGGTTAGGTTTTTTACAGTGTATATCGTCTATTATATAGTAAATATGTTGTAAATATTATTATTATAGTGTACAATTTCTCGGGAACAGCTAATCTATTTTGCTTTTTTTTATTATAAGTCTGTTTCTGAGTAACGATACTGAAGGCTCATATTTGTAACGAAATGTTTCGGTCGTAACTGAGAAATAAACCTACAATTAAAAAAAAAATCGTGAGTGAGGAAACCAATTTTTATATTAAATACTATTTTTAGAGGCGCCATAATTATGCCTAGTCATTGAAGCTTTTCACCTCCGAATTATTTGAAACTGAACCGATCGACTTGAAATTTGGCAGATAGTTAGAGAAAAGGTCAATGAATATTAGTGACATTGCGCCGGTTGACGCTTCTACCCTGTTGGGGGTTGACACCCCTTTTCAGGGGTGGAATTTTTTTTCCAAAATAAAACTGGAAATCGATAGAGAATCAAATTTTGAGCAAATAATATTCCAAGAATTTTTTCGAGAAATCAAAATTTTTTTAGTTATTCACGATTGAAAACATGGAATTTTGAATGAAAAAAAAAACAAAGTATTTTTCGCGAATAACTCAAAAACTATGCATTTTATATAAAAAAAAGTGTAATGAATAAAAATGTAGCTTATAAATAAATAAAGAAAATCGTTTTTTAAAAAGTGTTGTATGTCCTATACAAAGCGAAATATGGTTTGTGGAAGGGGACTTGTTTTGGGGGGAATACTCGAATTCAACGTCAAATAACGGAAAAAGGATTAATTTTACGTGTATAACGCTCCTAGAGTTTTTTGTAGTACTCAAAAAGACCTTCAAAATGAGCATATACAAAAGTTAATTAGGGCAAAATTGAAAGAGTTATCGTTAAAAACATTGGTTGCTCATATTTTTTAAGGAAAAATGAGCAGTAAACGCTGTACCATTTCCATCAGAATTAAAATGAATCGTAGACACTACACTTAGTTTTGTTTGAGTGTTTTTCATACGATCCTGAAGTTAGACCGGTTTAGAATGCGTATTTTTTTAATAATGTACGGTAAAAGTTGAAAACGCATTTTCCATTATTAAAAAAAATTGCCTTATTTATATAATAACTGAAGCTATGAAAGATACGTAAAAAATGATAGACAACAAAAATGTTGCTTATTTTCTTTCAACAAATATTTTGCTTTTTTTATTCCTATAGCATAAAAAATAAAGGAGATATCGCCGCTTGAAGTATCAATTTTAGTGAAAAAATGACCTGCCTCGAGCCCTTCGATAAAAAACAAAGGACTTAAAAGGTTTTATATGCAAACGATCTTACAGCTCTTGAAATTATCTTTAAAATGTTTTTTGCATGATTCTATAGCTTCAAAATTAACCGAGTTATGGTAATAAAACCAATGACATTTTTTCAGAGCAAAATAAGCTTTCTCATTTTTATATATTATATATTATATNCTTATACTAATGTTCGAAAGTTATTGGAGAAAAACTAAATATTTTTAAACTTTTTAGTGCCCTGTAGCTTGGAAAATAAAACCTGTAGAGCATAACTTCATAACACAAAAATTTATTTTATAAACCAAAAAATCCACCGTTTAATTTATTCCCAACCTTTATGTTACACCCAGTATATTATATTATACAAATAAAATAAGTAAAAAAATTTGGTGTGATTATATGCAGCGTAGCAATTTTTTTTATGATTGATTATATTTAAAAAGCGATTATAATAAAAATATTTTACATTAATATTGGTAAAAGGGTAGTTTATAAGAGTAAACAATATAAGGGAATTTTTATTTTAAATTATTGCACAATTATAGACTTCCAAGCTTTAAAACGTAATTTTTAAATTTTTTAGCACAGGGGTTATTTATAAGGGTTGAAAAGTGTTATGAGATACAAATTCTTTCATAAGCAATGAGGGAATTTTGTTTTCAAATAACTGCACCGTGAAAGCATTCCAAGCTTTTAAAATGTAATTGTTTATCATTTTTGTCAATACAGGGGTGGTTTTTAGGGGCTGAAAGGGAAAAATTCTTTTATTAGCTATAAGGTAACTTTTATTTTAAATAATTGCACGATTTAATCATTCCAAATCTTTAAAAAGTAATTTTTTATCATTATTTATTGCATAAGGGTAGTTTTTAAGGGTTAAATAAAGGGTCGAAAAAATCAAATATTTCATAAATCATGTTAGGGGACATGGAACATTATTTAATCTTTGTGCTTGAACAAGATTTTTATCAATAAAATGTTTAAAACTTAATTTTTTCAATTTTTTTCACTTAGGGGTAGTTTTTACCCCTAAAAAACAAAAAGCGTCAATCGGGCTTATATCACTTTTGAGCTTGAGCCTAAGATGAGCCTTATTCTAAATTTTCATGCAAATCCGTGCAGTTTCAAAGAATTCGGAGGTTTCAGCTGATTTTCAGCTTCAATGACTGTACTATTTTTATATGTTTCACATTTGTCTTTCTTGAATTGGTCCGAGAAATAAATTAAGTCACTGTTTGTCTCATATAAGTAAATCTATCGAATTCATGTTGACTATAAACCTTTGGTGGAACAGAGTCCCAACCGTCCATGTTTATTCATGCTTCGACTTAAGTGTTCGATTACGAGAGGCCGTAAAGAGCGTGTTTTCCGTGCGAAATATCGCTCGTGTTTCTTGCAAATACTTCAAACTTAATCACGCAACGTCGACGCACGCCGCAGGACCGTAATCGTAAATTTTAAAATCACCTACTGGATAGATGACACCGTTCTTTAATGCAGCTTGTTTGACTGCATTAATTTAGCCTAAAATAAATTAAACATAAATGAAGAAAAAAGTTTTATAATATTGTGGAATTTTAACACAACTTGGCAACAGAGTCGAATCATTTGATCTAATTCTAAGACAAATGACTAGCGCACGCTAAACTTTTATTTGTATGGTTCTTGGTGGTTCTTTTCAGATATACTTTGGAGTATGGGTGACTGTATGTGTGACTGCGTCCTGGGTGGGAGCAACGCACTGTATAAAGTACCTGTATCTAAGGAGACCGAAAGACGTAGAGGCAAACGTGGACCCTGTGCTGGTGCCACACGACACGAGCGACTTCAACATGACCCTTGTCCACTCACTTTACGTAAGCACAATCCTTCCATGAAAAGTTTTTTAACTATGTTTTGAAAACACATTTTTCGTCCGTTCGCATTGTATTTATCCTCACAGCTCCTTGCTAGACTTTGTCATCGTGAATGTCGCATAAAAGACATATTTCCCTTGACCAGCGCAACTAATATTTTGTCGCACCCTCATTCGTCCCCCTTTCGTCATGTCCTGACGCTATTTTTCTCCGCAGACTGCCTCTTATCAGGCACCATTCTTCACGACCTGGTTCGTGACCAACTGGACCATGCTGTTCTTTCCCCTGTACTTCCTCACCCGGCTGAGCAACAGGAGATGCGAATCCATCTCGGACATCCTATCGGAAAGTATCCGGGACTTCAGGGACAAAGGATTCACCGCAGGTATAGCCGCAGTTACAGGGTGGATGGTGTCAACAAGTCTGTTTAGACTTTAGACGATTTTTATGCTTCTACCTCTTCTACTGTAATTATTTTATGTTCCTCTTGTTAATGCCACTAATAATTAAGTGATTCTTCGATGTTGACTTAAAAGTTTGAATATTCGAAGCTCTTTCAAGGCATTGGTACACCAGACACCTTTTAACTCGACCGAATTTAGTGTTTTATACCGATCTTCCGTTTACACCCTCTACGGGATGGAGGCAAAATCCACGAATTGGGATCTCGAACGTCGCGACTCGTAAAACTCCTTATGGAAATCAATAACACCCTTATAGTACATCTCGTACCCGTTGAGGTGAAGTTTGCGAGATTGTGGAATTTATTCTCTGATTTATTACCTGTTATTTATTATTTCGACGTGTGAAATCAATTATCAATCAGTAATTAAAGAAAATAGAGACGTTTTCCTCAAGGTCATGAGGTGTATCCCCACGTTGGGCGCCAAATTCAGTGCATTACACATCCTATTAGGAGTTTCCGATAATAAGATTCATATTTCCGTTCCAGTACGGTTCATGACGCGCTGCAGCCTATTTTGCATTCTCTGGGTAGGCACCAACTACATGTACATAATGTCCCTGAGGATACTATTAGCTACCGACGTGATGGCTCTCTTCGCGACCAACGTATCTTTCGTCTACCTCCTCTCCTGGGTCATCCTGCACGAGCAGTTCGTGGGTATCCGAGTAAGTCGAAATTGCAAGGCCTAGTCCAGATCTACAAACAGTTTTCGCGTACAAATATTTTGAAACAAACGAAAACTACGTAGATCCGGACCAGTTGCGAGTATAAAAGAGACTAGGTGAAAATCCTTCCCAGATAATGGCTGTGATAATCTGCGACACCGGCGTCGCCCTGCTGGCGTACATGGACGGCATCACCGGGAGCCCCACGTTGGGCGGCGTCGTCTTGGCCACCTCCGCCGCCGCCGGCTCGGCCGTGTACAAGGTCCTGTTCAAGAAGGTCATCGGGGAGTCGACGTACGGGCAGGTTGCCCTGTTCTTTTCTCTTATAGGGATGCTGAACGCGGCCTTTCTCTGGCCGTTGAGTCTGGGGCTCTTCCTCATGGGCGTGGAGACGTTGCACTGGGATAAGCTGCCCTGGCCCGCGCTGCTCACAGCCAGCAGCCTTTCTCTAGGTAAGCACTAGGGATTTGACGCCATTTTGAGGTTGGAATTGTAGCAAGGAATGTCGTTAAGTATCGGGAAAAAGTTAATGATAGTCCAACCAAATTACACTTGGACAAAAAAAAATGTTACCTGGACTTTTATATGTGGAAATGGTAAAAGGGCTTATAATAAACTTAAAAAAACTAAATGTGTGAGCAGGTGCGGCGGAGGGTTGGTTTGGGGGTGGAAAAGTTATGAAAAATTGTATCATTGGGATTTCTGGCGAAAGTTGACGTCAGACAAAAAAGTATCCAATACAAAAGGCGTAGATCATGCAAAAATCTACAACTTTTGTAGAGGTAACTTTTTAACATAACCTCAAAATTTCAGAGAAAAATGCGAAAAACAGTTTTTTTTCTGGTTTTTCGTTTTTTATTTCTCATTTCCTCAAAAATAATTTAATTTTGACGAAACTTGGTGAAAATATACCTTTCTCTATCTTAAATAACCTCAAATTTTTTTAGATAAAAAAAATCTAGAAATTTCTGATATTAATTTTTTTCGGCCTGAAACACTTTTTTTAAAGAAAAATTCTACTTAAAAAAATCATCGTACAAAGTTCTGCCGGTAATCATTTTTTTCGTTTTAACATATACTTTTTGGTGAAATAAAAAAATCTGTAATGTCGGTTCAAAAACATACTCAAAAATGCAAAAAAGATAAAAAATGACTTGTAACAATAAATTTTTCAGTTATTGTTGATAATTTGTTTAAATTAAAAAATATTCAAAAACTGATTACACCATTCAATTCTACGGAAAAAAATTTAAAAAAAACTGTGTCTCATTGTCTGACCCAAAAATGTTTGTATATTGCTATAAACATTTAAGTCGAATTACAAATGCTCAAATAATAAATTATCTCTGGACGATTTGAGATTTCAGCAATACAAAGTATTACTGCAAAGTTTACTGTTGACACGAAATCCGAAAACCTGAAATTTTGCAAAATCGTTTTATTTTTTTCTGGCTTTATTTGAAAACGAATTTTAAATAATTTGCATATTTACATTGCCACTTTTTTCGCTCTATCCAATGGCATCAACATTTTTGCAAACCGACGTTTCGTCTTCGAGGTTCCATCATCAGATTAATTTTTTTAAATATATCGCTGCAATTTTTATGACAAAATCTAGTCACTTTTAATTCTGTATTAGATGATATTACTATTGTAATTGCTTAAAAAGGTTTTTAGCTATCATTAACAATTTTTCCTGAGTACGACTCTGAACGCTTTCAAAATACCTGTATCTATTGGAAGAGAGCGAGAGAGAGGAGAGAATAAAAGTCAATACAGCACAAAATGCCAAACAATTTTTTTTAATCCATAATTTAAAAAGCTGTAAAAAAAATAATACGAATTTATGAAATATTTTATTATTTCTAATTAGTATTGCCAATAGTAGTAAAAAATTGTTGGATATTTTGTACGGTATTGACTTTTATACTGTTATGACTTCATCCAATAGATATTTTGAAAGCGTTCAGAGCCGTACTCAGGAAAAAAATTAAATTATAGCAAAATCAAGCTAAAAACTTTTTAAGCGATTACAATAGTAATATCCTCTAATTCAGAATTAAAAATGACTTTAGATTTAGTCATAAAAAAAGCAGCGACGTATTTAAAAAAAATTAACCCGATGATGGCCCCTCGAAGACGAAACGTCGGATTGCAAAAATGTTGACGCCATTGTATAGAGTGAAAAAAGTGGCATTGTAAGTATGTAATTTATTTTAAAATTCGTTTTCAAATAGTCAGAAAAAATTAAACAATTTTGCAAAATTTCGGGTTTTTCCGGATATCTCCGGAACTACCCGGAATTTTAAAACTTTCTAAACAGCATATTGTTAGGTATAAAAAAACACAACTTTTTTCTAATCTGGGCCACCCCGTATCTCTTACCGTTTCTTAAATCCTAATGCTATCCCATCCTTATCTTGGACACACTGTATATTATCTATGAATTCATCAAACTTTAAAAAACAATAAGTACACTAATTATTGATCCTACGGAAAAAAAATTATTATTTATTTTATTTATTCACTATTCGACTTATGTTTATAGCAGTACTGTACAAAAATAGTTTTGGGTCAAACAATGAGACAGTTTTTTTGTATTTTTTTCGTACAATTGAATGGTGTAATCAGTTTTTGATTTTTTTTAAATTTAAACAAATTATCAACAATTACTGAAAAATTCATTGCTGCAAGTAATTTTTTACATTTTTTCATTTTGAAATGTGATTACAATTTTTTTTTATTTCACCAAAAAGTATATGTCAAAACGAAAAAAATTATTACCGGTAGAACTGTACGATGATTTTTTTAAGTAGAATTTTTCTTTGAAAAAAAAAGTGTTTCAGCCCGAAAAAAACGAATAACTCAGAAACTTCTTGATTTTTTTATCTAAAAAAATTTGAGGTTATTTAAGACAAACAAAGGTATACTTTCACCAAGTTTCGTCAAAATTAAATTATTTTTGCGGAAATGAGAAATAAAAAAAGAAAAATCAGAAAAAAAAACTGTTTTTCGCATTTTTCTCGGAAATTTTGAGGTTATGTTAAAAAATGACTTCTACAAAAGTTGTAGGTTTTGCATGATCTACGACTTTTGTATTAGATACTTTTTTGTCTGACGTCAACTTTCGCCAGAAATCCCAATGATACAATTCTTCATAACTTTTCCACTCCCCAAAACAACCCTCCGCCGCCCCTGCTCAAGTATTTATTTTTTTTTTCGTTTATTTTTTTTACCCTCTAAATGAGTTATTTTGATCGGTCTATGGTCTATGATGCTGTTATTATACTTGAGCTCACCTGACTCGGACAAATCACTTTTTTCGAAAACTTTAACGCATGCATTAGTTTGCAAACTGAGAGCAATAAAATCCGAGTTTAAATGTTTGCCTTTTGGATTAAAAAACGTCCCGATGGCGCTACGACGAAAGCTGTCAATAGCTTAAAATTTATGTGTTTACATTTTATACATTAGTAAATGTGGTGTCTTCCATTCTGTTTCAGTTGCCAATTTATTGGGCAATTTCAGCGTTGCCCTAACTTACGACTTATTTATTACATTAGGGCTTATAACAGCCGTTCCTGTATCAGCTGGTAAGTGTTTTTAGTTTTTTTTAAAGACTTTATACAGTGAAATGAAAGAAATTAATTTTTAAAGATCATCACGCACAGAGATTAGTTGTACATTTACGACTACTAGGGTTGAACTTAAAAGTTGTGTTACAATGATCAGAAAAATTTAAAAAGTTCAAATGAAAAGTATTGTTTTGTGACTACAGTAAGGTCAAAATTTGACGCACGGTACTTCAGAAACAAGAGACAGTAAGCCCATGGATTATAAGGAAAAAATCGAATTAATTTTCTATTTTCTTTTAATCAATAATACACTTATAGTTTAACTCAAATGACTAAACAATCGTACTATTATTTTTACGTACCTTATCTATAATTTAACCTATGTTTCCAATCGATTTCATTTAGATCGGACGATTGTAACGCTTCCAAACAATTTTCGTCCGATTTTATATAAGTCTAATATCAATCTTTATTGTTTAGCATTGGACGTAGTGTTGTATGGCGCCAACTTCGAAGGGATGAAACTAGCAGGGATGATCCTCATAGCCGTGGGCTTCTTCCTAGTGATGTTTCCCGACAATTGGCCGGATTACATTACTAGATTACTAAGGTAAGAAACGACCTACCCTATTTGTAACTTTAATTCCTTGCGCGAACCGAAACAGTAACATTTGTACGTAACATCACTAACTAAACAACCAAAATGCATCGATTGAAAACACTACGAACTATTCTGAACCTCACTGCACAACCAGTCGAACCCGTCGAACAACCCGGTGCCCTGTAAGGCGCAAACGCCCTGTACATGCCACTTGCGGTCCCTGATCTCGTGCAGCGCGAGCCTGTGTGCCATTTCGGTGGGAGTCATCGCCACGGGCACATCCTGTTTGTTGGCAAGGACCAGCAACGCGGCGCGTTGCAGATCGAATTCGAACAGCAATTTCTTTAGCTCGGCCGAGGCCTCGTCCATCCTGTCGCGGTCGCTCGAGTCTATGACGAATATCAGGCCGTTGGTGTTGAGGAAGTAGTGCCTCCAGAGGCGCCGCAGCTTGTCCTGACCGCCGACGTCCCACACTGTGAAGTTGACGTTTTTGTAGTCGACGGTTTCTACGTTGAAGCCCACGGTGGGGATAGTTCGGACCACTTCCCCTAAAAAAAGAACGCAGAATAGATTTTGCTAAAGTGAGAATGAAACATTACTGAAAATTGTTGTAGGAATAATTCAGCAGAATGTGCCTTACCTACCCAATTTGATTTTGTACAAAATTGTCGTCTTTCCTGCACCATCAAGCCCTACCATTAATATCCTGACGTTTTTCTTGCCCCAGTATCTATTTATTACGTAAGAAATGAGTAAACCCATCTGGTTTGAGAGAAAAACGTGTTACAAATGTCATAACGATATGTCAGAGTTAGTTGACGCGAAATTTCTTTCCAGTCTTGACAACTGAACTTGTTTAATAGCAAATGTTACTGTTTCCTGTGTCAGTCGAAGCCTTTGTTTTTAAGGTGATCTGGTATTTTTATTACTCGGCGACTGTGTTAGGATTAAACTTTTACTTCTGCTTATTAGTTTTTAAATATGGCGAATATGCCGCTTTAAGCAACGTTTTGGTTTTGCAGAAAATCGAGTCGAATCTTCACAGGGAAGGTTTGTTTTTAAAGCTAAAGCCGGCCCTGTATTAATTTGCTAATGCTACAGCCATTTTTTTTACTTTTTTTTAATGATCCACAATATTTTTAATAATATTTTTTGGTCAAAACCTACTTCGTGTAGGAAACTTGAGTAGGCTAGCAGCAATTGTATTTTTTAATGATAATCCCCAGAATGTAAACACATTTTAGTAGAAATTGTATCGACTTAAATCTATTATTTCTGTTACATTTTTTCAATAAAAGCCAGTCGATGCGATTTTTGTAGAGAAATTTGAAAAATAAGCCTACTGTAAAATTATAAAGTAGCTCACTGTTATATTCTAAGAATTTGTATTACTTTGCATATAGCATGCTTTCACGATAATTAACACAGTAAAGGCTTCTTATAACACGAAGAATATCAGAAAAAATTGCTGAAATACACGGATTTTAATATTTTTAAGGTTTTATATTGCTTGAGCAAAAAAGTATGAACCAGGAATCAAATTTCTGGCATTTATTCTTGATAAATAACACTGCTGTCCTAAACTTGTTCAGTTTAAAACTTTCCAGATAGATGTTTCGAAATAAATGACTATTAAATCCTAAAAATAGTTATTTTTTTAAAAAACACTCGCAAAGTTTATTGTGCTGCTTTTTGAAAATTGTTTGAATCATAAAAGTGTACTAAATATCCTTCGGAAAGTTTTTTTGACACACAACGATATTTTACGAACATTAATATTATCTCCTTTGGTTTTCGAGCTGTCACATCTGAGAGTTATAAACGGAACACCCTGTACAGCACAAAGAAAGTTTTTTCTGATTTCCCACGATTTTTTTCTTTTGAAATTTATTCCTCACTGTGCTGCCGTTTTTCCAGTACGTCACAACTTGTACTGTTAAATACCAATACTGCATTGTCCGATATTCAAGTTGCTAGTTTATTTTGTAATCTGACCGACTTATTGGCTTTGTGTACCTTGTTGCAGAAATATCATTATGTTGAGCCACAGCGCGAGGTAAGGACCCATTTTTCTAATACAAACCCTTACTAATATCAGTGTTTTGTTGCATGGTTTATTGTCGTACCTATACTTTTCCGAAAACTTATACATTATTGAGATCTCTTGTTGCTTGATCTTTGATCTACATGAACAAACCACATGACCCACACTGTTACAGAGTCTAGTTACGTGTACATTTTAGAGAGTGAAATACGTTTAGAAACATGTTTTTTTTTTTGGTAGCCCCCAGTAGGTTTTGCGGATTTGTTAGACTTTGTAGATTGACGAAGATTTACTGATTATCACAATTACACTAGTTTCGTTGTCAGTCAGTTAACTTTTTTATTTGTCGTTTGTTAAGTACTCAAGTCGTAGAGCTTTTTGAGGATTGATTTTTTGAATAGAATACAAAAATTTCAATGAACTACACCGTTTCTGTAGACCTAGTTGTCGATCATGGAAGTAATTTTTATTTTCTTAATTTTTATAGTATGCCGACCCCAAACAGGGGCAAAAAACGTGAATTAATGTATGTATGCGTAGTGTGCTGCGTCGTACTTCTTATGCTGTACAAAATAAGATAGAACTAGTCAATTATTGTATTTTATGTAGACATAGTTTGTAAGAATCCCCTATTAGATGACAATAAATTTTTATATTCTTTTTTTCTTTTAGTTTGTATATAATAAAAGTGTTCCCATAGCGATGACTTGCAATTCTTGTCATTTTTGTCTCACCACACACTGATACACCTCACTTATACGTATTGTAGATTTGATATTGAGCTTCCAAAACGCCCACCATAACAACTTCTAGACAGACATATTTTTTTTACGAGATTCGTATGGCGTTTTGGAAGCTCGGCCTTTGTCTCAGTGCTTTGAATTATGTCGGTGAATGTCCACCAGAAGGTAGGTTTGGGTTGCATGTTTTTTCACGTCACAGTCATCATCAAATACTTCTAAATCTGACCGTTCCTAGAATCTAGCGAGAATGGATTTCAAAAGCGATCTCATAAGGTCAATGTTACTTTGTCTGGTTTTAATTTCAAAGATAAGCAGATTTTTTAAAATTGTCACAAAAAGGGCTTATTCGTGTTGTTGACAATCGAAAATCTTGATGAAATAAAAAAAAAGTGAGCTATCAAAGAAATATACAGTGTGTTACGTTTTTATTTATGAAAAAACTGAGCGGTGAGTCCCCCTGGAAAATAGTTGCGTTTTAGATATACAGGGTGTTGACGTTGTTACTTTGAAGAGTAGATCAAGGCGGATCTATCGAAATATCCCGCTTCTTGAATGTAAGAGGGGGCAAGCTAACTTTTGCTGAAATTCGTATAATAAAATTGCAAAAAATTTAAAAAAGTACCTATTCTATCTGAGTTTTTTTACTTATATCTTGGAGCATTTTGGAAGAATATTGAAGAGGAAAATAAGTTTTAGAATTGAATTTTTCACAATATACTGTAAGTTAAAAATGTTTAAAATTACCGATGTTGCGAAATATCAATAAATGATGAAAAAAGGCAAAATAATCAAGTTTTTTGGATAATTTTGGTAAAAAAAACTTTAGAGTATAATAAAACAACACACCAAATTTCATTAAAATCGGTTTGATAGTTTTCGCAAAATAATTTTTTGAAAAAACGAATTTTCAAAATGTTACACAGCCTCAAATAAAGCATTTCGATACATGAAAATTTTTTTACATAGAAAAGACCGCTCAACCTCTCAAATGGTTTCTGAAAAATTGGAATCGGTTAATTAGAACGGCCACAGTAAATTTTTAAAGTTAACACACTTTTTTTTAATTTTTAAACAATTGTATTACATTTATCAATTTGCAATGTAGTTTTTTTCAAAAATTATAATTCTAAAGTACTCGGAAAGACGCTTCTTTAGAAAAAAAAAGTTAAATTCCGTTTATTGGTTCTCGAGATATAAGCGGTCAAAGTTTATTATTTATGCATTAAACATACTGTATCTTTTACTCTACGCTATTGCATTTGTTTCAATGAAAAAAATTTGTTTACGAATATATTTCAACACTCTGAATATGAATGTATTATAATTATTACAATTATTTAAATAATTTTTGTTTAAACAAATTAAATTTATGTGGAAATTAATTTTTTTGTTAAATACAGATAAAATTAAGAAAAAATAGTACTTTAAAATCATAATTTTTGAAAAAAACTAAATTGCAAATTGATAAATGTAATCTAATTGTTTAAAAATAAAAAAAGGGTGTTAATTTTAAAAATTTACTGAGGCCGTCCTAATCAACCGATTTCAGTTTTTCAAAAACCCTTTGAAATGTTGAGGGGTCTTTTCTATGTGAAAAAATTTTCAAGTATCTAGATGCTTTATTTGAGGCTGTGCAACATTTTGAAAATTCGAAAATTTATTTTCAAAATTATTCTCAAAAAATTATCTTGCGAAAACTATCTAACCGATTTTAATAAAATTTGGTAAATGCTTTATATTCGCAAAATTGTTTATTTTTAAACAAGAATCGAATTGATCGCCCCCTCCCTCAGTTTTTTTATGATAAAAACGGTTTACCTTGTATGATGAATAATTTCTATCAGCAGCAATACAATTATAAGTACTTTATTAAGAAAAATAGTGCTTACTTTTTGTGATATACTATAATCATTTATTTTTTAAATTTTCTTTTAACGGCACGCTTTGACGTAATAACTAAACAGTGTGTACAGGGTGTTTTAGAGAAAGGAGAGATACGGAAAATTATAACAGTATTAGCTGTAAAACATAGTGAAACAGAAAAAAGTAAGATTCGGGATCTAAAACATCCTGTACGGCTCCAGTAGACTCATCTTGTTCACTGTAACCGTTTGTTGTCGCGTGTATGTGGATGTTTGTTGGTCTGGTGGGTGAATTTTGTGGTACCCGAATCGAAATCTCGGTACCGCCACCCCTCCCCCCACCAAAGACCGTCTTTCTGCAAGCGAGAGGATCCGCAGCCGCCCACGAACTCTTAACGCCGTCGCGGCGCAGGTTGTGAATAATGTGAGTGTTCTACTTTCCCGTTCTTTCTTGTACTTTTGTTTGTGTCTAGGCGTAGTTAGAGTTTTTGCTCGCAGGAACATGTTTTACACGATTTTGCACGAGGGATGTACGATTCTCTTTGTTCGGTGAGGTACATGGCAGCAAAAATTTAAACTGGCCACCTGGTGGTGCCTGTTTCTGTGATGATCGGTATTCCTGCTATTTGCCTTGCCTGACTGTTCTGTTCTCTGCACTTGCGCACGATTTTGTTAGTTTCTTCCGTACTTAGAACGATTGAGATGAAAACAATTGGACAAATTAATTGTCTGGTATAGCGGAAAATGTCAAGAACTTCACAAAATTTTTGCCTACGCCCTTATTTTCGGGGTTTCTGAACGCGAAGTTAGTTTTGTGCGATTAAATATAGTTTTCGGGAGAAAATGTATGGAATTGTAACCTCTAAACTTCACACAACACTCGAATTATAAGTATTTAGAGCACATTAAAGTAAAATACATTAAATAAACTTATTTTCCTTTAAATTTCTGAAATATACTGTGGTAGTAACATGTTTCAGTTTAAATTTCGCTCTAATTTACGTAGTTCGTCCTAGAAGAAGAAGAGGAGCAGTTTAGAGGTTATGTAAAATGGATGCGAGAAGAAGCGTTGTTATGCTTTGTATGACACTACATATGCTAAAATCATTAATTTCAGTAATTGACTAAGAACTTTTGAATCTTGCATAGTATCGTACAGAAACTGCAACAAAAATTGCTCATAGACTTCGAAAATAGGGGAGTAGGAATTGGTGAGGTTTTGGGCGTTTGTCGCTATATTAAATGATTGCCAACACTGTTTTAAAAGAAATGCCATCCAAATAAGCGGATCATGGAATCAGTATATTATTACAACCCTACGAAGACCTGAGACACTAAAGGGATTGCACTTGAGGGGAAATTTAATATTTTATTTTGTTTTTCTTAGATAAATAAGACTTTTGGAATAAAAATAAACCCATCCTGTAAATACAGAGACAAGTTAAAATTTTATTTATTTCTCTTTACTTTGATTACCCTCTTTATTCTGTCTATACCACCTCGTCTTCTTGCTGTTCAACTGCTCATATCTGTTGCTTTTCACTCTTTTTTCACAAACGTAAAAAAAACACTTTTGCATGACGAATTATTATTATTCGGATCTATTTTTTTAAAAACTACAAAAAATGGACAATTTTCTTTCTGGGAAGACCTGTTTCGTAAAAGATTTTAAGCTATTTCTTTTGAAAAGCTTAAAAAGAACAATTTCCCGTAGATATACTCACAAAAATTAATTTTCAACGGGTCCTAATTGATTTTCAAACGAGAGTGACTCATTTCCATTTTGTGTTGAAACAGGTGGAGCAGAAGAAGCAGGCACGGCTCCCAGGGCTCAAATCGGAACAACGTGGTGGACTATCGCACCGGCTACATCCGTTCCCACCTCCGGTCACCTTCCGGGAGGGTCCGGTGACCTAGCCAGAGTTCACAAGGTGATCCAATGAAGGAAATTCTTCTCACGGCCCTGTGAACTAGTAGAACTAGATTTAGGTTCACTGGATTTAGTGATTCGTAAGGAAATAACTCTTAGGGACCGTCGGGGTGATACGCAGGTCTCGACAGGGGCTTCACGGCAATGCCGGTTTCTAAGAAGTATTCGTTTGTTGTATATTGGCCTTGGGGGTCAATTTCAAAATTGTCCTCAAAGCTCGTAGCCTAACTTAACTAGAGTATATATGTTACGAGTTATTTACTATCAGATAATCCGAGGATCGATTTTTAACTTAATTACTTCCTCTGGCGATGCCCGAATGAAGTTCGAAGTCTGTTTTGACCTGCCGATCTCCACCGACGATGTAAAGAAAAATTATTTAGGTGGATCAACTATCGTATCCAAGAACACCAATAACTTAGACTTTGTATATTGTCGAATCATAGAGATTTAGGTACTAGTTACGTTTATATACATATATATACAACCAACACATCCGGGAAAGTTTTGAAGCATAGACTTTTAAGAAAGTTACCTTCTCTATGTTAAAAAATTATGTGTTGTACGATCTACTGATTCGATTATTTGTTTTTAATGTTACATTAAAAAACATAAAATATATCGACGTACTGAAACTTTTATAAGCAAATATTTTGGGAACATTAAAATTATTTCGAGCTCAAATAGTTTTTGTACAGTGGACATTAGCAGCGCGTTTTGGAAAATTCCTTCCGGGTCCATATTTTTATCACATATACGTGTATTATTGGTTCTAGTTTCTCCTTAGTTGGTTCTTAAGACTGTGCCAATCACTGTCTTTTGTATTGGAAGTAGTTAAAATTGTTTGTGTTTAAAAATCGGTTGGGGAATGTAATTATCAAATCCAGAAGTGTTCTGTAATAGAAACAGTGCTATCAAAAGTGACATTGTAAAATTTGTAGATAAATAAAAAGTTAAACATCTACAGTTTGTTTTCTTCCCTTGTTCCGTAATTTATCAATTTGCAATTGTATTAGTTCGACAAAAATTGCTTAAAAAAGATATAATAGTTTTGCCAATGTTTACCAACAATAATTAATCGATTTCGCATTATTTTGTAAATTTTTATAACAATATAAATAAGTACGTCGATTAAGGAATAGAATATGACATCGTCATTTAAAAATATTCACGACTCGAAATCTTAACATTTGACGCAAAAACAGAATTTTAAATAGAAAACTTTTTTTAAATTTTTTTGCACCCAGTGAGTTGGAATACCATATCAGAGAACACTGATATAGTGTTCTCTGACCATATTTCAAAATTAACATGCTGCGCCATCTATCGGTCGAAAGTTACAATAAATTTAGAATTTCAGACTTGCCATAAATAAATTGTATCTACAACAAATAGGTGTCACTACCTATGACACACTTGACAGATAAATACAGACAAAAGAAACAAGTGCGGTGCTGTGTTTTTACATGTCATTATCGTTACATTTCGATTCAGAAACAAATAAAAATTGAAAGAATCGACCGGCACCTTCGTTGTAAAGCTTCTCTAGTCAATTTCCAGTCAAATTAATTCAGTGGAACAGTTAAAATGCACATCAGGTTATTTTTGTGGATATTTTCGATAATTTCAACGACATTCGCTCACGAAGACGATGTTCACACGATAAAGTATAACGCGGACAACTTTTCCGAGGAAGTAGGGAAAAAACATCATTTTATAATGTTCTACGCCCCTTGGTAACAACCAAAGGTAACGTAGAAAAAAACTATTCTTATTGTAATTGAATTGTAGGTGTGGTCACTGCCAGAGACTGGCCCCGACATGGGAGCAACTAGCCGAAATGCTAAACGAAGAAGACAGTGACATAAAAATAGCCAAAGTCGATTGCACCGCTGAGAGCAAGGTCTGCTCCGATCAAGACGTTACTGGCTATCCCACGCTCAAGTTCTTCAAAGTGGGCGATAACGAAGGGGTTAAGTTCAGGGGCACAAGGGACTTGCCGTCTCTTACGACTTTCATCAACGAGCAGTTGCGTGAGGTACGTCTCTCGTTTGACACGGCTAGAAACAACTTGTTTGTAGGTACACCAGAGAATGCTGAGTAGCGATTTTGAATATATTTGCGTGTAGGTAAAAAAACGGTGGGTCCTTGAAAAATTATTCCTTGAATGCCAAATCGTAATTTTTTCTTGTTTTCTAACTGTCCAACTATTAAACGAAATGAGTTTTGCTCCTCATACACTTTATTTGCAGCACTAATCGTTTTTATATTATTTTTTAAATGTTATTAACATTGGCACGAAACAAGAACATGCAGTTCGTAACACCACAACTTTCAGCCACCAAAATCACCTGATCTGAGTCAGGCGGATTTAAAAGCTTTTTTTTTGTCTCTTAAATTTCTGTTGATAATCGTGAATTTTTACACAGGGCGATGAAGAGATTAACGAAGTTAACATTCCTCAACCGGTGAGTGGTCTTATTGAGCTTACCGAAGACAACTTTGACAAACACACAGAGACGGGGAAGCACTTTATAAAGTTTTACGCTCCTTGGTGCGGACACTGTCAGGTGAACTTCCCTGACGGTTCGTTGTGTTTTATCTAATTCGCTTTGATCTTTTAGAAACTGGCCCCTACTTGGGAACAACTGGCCAAGACTTTGGAGTTTGAGACGGACGTCAGCATCGGTAAGCTGGATTGCACCCAGTTTAGATCCATTTGCAACAGTTTTGAGGTTAAGGGCTACCCGACACTGTTATGGATCGAAAACGGTAAAAAGGTAAGCATCACATTGATACTTTAACATGTCATGTCTAATGAAATTTTTTTATTTTGTTTCGTGGTAATAGGTGGACAAATACCAGGGGGACAGAAGCCACGACGACCTCAAACAGTACGTCAACAAGATGCTGGGTTCGAACAAGGAGAGCCAAGAGGAGGGCGATCGCGGCACCGAAACGTCCGGCCCCGTGGGTGAACTGACGGGCGACAATTTCAAAGAGGGCATTCAGGGTGGGTTGACCTTCGTCAAGTTCTACGCCCCGTGGTGTGGGCACTGCAAACGTCTCTCTCCGACTTGGGACAGTCTGCGTGAGAAGTTTTCGACCAAGGCGGGGGTCGATATAGTAAAAGTCGACTGTACGCTGGACGTCAACAAACAGCTGTGCAACGACGAGGAGGTGGAGGGTTTCCCGTCCATATTCCTGTATAAGAGCGGAGAGAAGATCTCTGAGTATAGCGGTAGTAGGTCCTTGGACGACCTGTACGATTTTGTCGTCAAGCATTTGGGCCATGATGAGTTGTAACTGTTTAGTTTGTAATTGTGTTTTCCGGAGTTTTTTTTGCGTTTTTCCAAGGCTGTTGGTTTTTTGGTCGTTTTTTTGTTTTTGGGTTTTGTACGAGATTTGTTCGAAGTGTTACATTTTTTTTGGAAAGTTATGGCCTTAAAGTTTGATTTGATAATCTTCCCCTTTATTTTAATGACATACTTAGGTGAATTTTGTATTGATTTTTGAAGATTTTTAAATAAATATTGCTCAACCAAACGGATTTTTAATTAAAAGAATTGTTTAAAAAAATTTATAAAACTAATTATTCTACGAACTACAAATTTTATCCAAAATTGAATTACAATAATAACAATTTTGTTGGTGAATACAAAGTAATTGTTTAAGTAGGCATTGAATAATAATGTCGTTTATGATATATTGTATACTTTACGGCGGTAGGTACAATATAATGATTTATGGCAGTAGGTATTGAGTAGCAATGACATGACACATACTTTATAGGTTACTTCTCACAGAGCGACCTTCTGCAGTAGGTACAAAATAACGTTTTATGGCAGTAGGTATTAAGTAGCAATGACATGACATATACTTTATAGGTTACTTCTCAGAAAGCGACCTACTGCAGTAGGTATAAAGTAATGCTTTATGCCGGTAGGCACTGAATGGCAATGAAATGACATATTTTTAAGATTGCCATTCCCTCACAAGTGTGCCCTAATATCAAAGACAGTAGCTGCAAACGTGAATTCATTAATTGATAAACGCGCTAAAAAGAGATACAATGATGGTACAAAATCATAGTATCAATCTATCACAGACAATCGTTCCAATATTTTACGTGTATTAGAGTGAAAGAAAATGGTGAACGTTTGTTGGGTATTAGTTTCAGACTGTAGTTTGACTACCGCAGTTAAAACAAAATAGAAGTGACACTCAGATTAAAAGTTTGACAGTTATTTTAATCGCGTCTCCGTACTAACTGTTGTTTATATATTCTGAGCGTTAAAATACCGATTTTTTGGCATATTATATAGAAATTCTTATAATTTTTGTTTATTTACTTCGAATAGGTAACTAAATGTAATGATATAGGCAACCAGTAACAACATTTGGGAGATCAGATTTGGGAATTGTCAAGATGACATTTTAATTAAATGAAAACAGTGACTAATTTGACTAGGATTTTTCGTTTTTGTTCATACGAATATTTATTGTAATGCAATGGAAAAGATACAGCGGTTTTAGTGTATACCATAGATAATTTAACCATAACCATACGGAGTGTATACTTTATAGGTTACTCCTCACAGACTGACAGTAGGTACAAAATAATACTTTATGTTGGTAGGCATCGAGAGGTTTGTAGGTTATATTTCACAGAGCGACCTACGCCGGTAGACACAAAGTAATACTGTGTGTCAGTAGGCTTTGAGTAGCTATGACATTTAAGATTGGATTTATTTTAAATCATTCCAAAATTTCACAAAGCTTTATGTATATTTTGGTCGTTCTGAAAGCTATCGAGTTGGGACTTGGCATGTGGACCATTCCAGAGGAATCTAACAAACCCTATTTATACTTTACAATTCGTGATTATTGAAATGTAAGCCACTGATTTTGAACGTTATTTTAAGAATGCTCCTACACCACAACTTTAAAGTTACAATATTTTTTAATCATTTTCGGCTTTCGATTAATATTTAACTCGTCTCTTGTGCAGATTCTTTCCTCTCTTTAAAAGCTGAAACGGAAAAATTATTTCACGTCGTGGTTACAATTTTAAGACGAAATAAAACAAAAGATTCTATAAATAGTTTACTCAATGAACATGTACACCTTTAACAAAGTTCTAACCCTTGGTTTTTACATAACCTAAAACTAAATGTGTTTCACGAACTGCGAAGTGTGAAAAAAAACTACCGGAGACAAAATGCCTATAAAAAAAGAAATTTAGAATTTAATACACTAATAAATACAAAAAGTGAAGGAACGTGATGAAAAAAGTCTTATCAACCTGACCTAATTCGTTACATTAATAAACTCGGAAGTATCCTAACGCCCTCACAATTCGTCGTGCAGTTCGTCGCGTATATCGGCCGGCGCTTCCCGGCAGGCCGCGGGAGTGACGAAAGTGAACAGGTACTCGCACCGGTTCGGCTCCGACACGCTAGTCAGTTTATTCTCACTGCCGCAGTCGATCCGCACCTGTGTGGACCTCTGCGGGCCGTTCCAGCACGACTGGCCCTTGTCGTACACCATGACCGAGTACAGGTCATCCTCGGGACCGGCCCATCGACCCCACGTCCCCAGCCGGGTCTCCGTAGAGGTAGATTTCGGCAGCTGGGACGTTTTGTCGAACGGACATAGCTTGTACACGTACTCGTGGTCTTCGAAGGTGAAACACTCGCCTTGAAGGGTGGCAAATTCCTCCTCGGGCCCGAAATCTTTGTTAAGGTAGTTCTGGATGGCTTCTATCTCGGATTGGATGCTGCGGACCTGCCTGTCTGCCGCGCTGTGTTCGTCTCGGGCGAATTTGGCACGTTCGACGATTTTCTGGGTTTCATCGTCGTACACGACGGTGGTCGGTTCCTCGTGGTGTTCTTCTTCCTGGGCTTCCGGTTCTTGGTCGTCTTCTTCTTCTTCGTCATCTTCGTGTGCTGCAAAAAGACAGTGTTTACAAAATTACTCTGGAAATATGAACATATCTGAAATAACACTAAAAATGTTTATGAGACAATAATTGTTAAAATATGGCTAATGATTAAGATAAGTTTTAAAATAATTGCTCCAAGCATTTAACCAACACTCGCAATCTCGACTAGAGATAAAATTATCTTATATTTGTATACCAATTATGCTCAAAGATAAGATGCTTGAACAATCTAATAAGTAAACATACCTTCCTCGTCGTGCTCATCGCTCTCTTGCATATCATCAGCCTCAGTCTGTGCTTCTTCCTCGTTCTCACTAGGTGGCGCTTGGAACGCCCCGGCATCTCTCATCAAGTACGTTTTGACATCTCGCCAGCAAATGCTAATGAAATTCTCCAGATCCACAGAATCTTGATTGAATAAAAAGAATTTTGCTTCCTCCTCGGAAACTACAAAAAGCAAATTTGAACCAGCATTTCAAATTAAACGTTTTAGACTTACCTTCTCCATTCCCATCTTTGTCGAAATTATGCCTGGTTTGTAATTCCGCAATGACCAACATTCCGTCTTGATTGGAATCAAATTTGTTGAAAATCTCTGTGGCTTCCGCTCTATTTTTAGCTTCTTCTTCCTCTGCCCTCCTTTTCTTCTCTTCTTCCTCCAGTTTCCTATAATACTCCAAAGCGCTCTTCTCTTCCTCTTCTATCTCATTTTTCAGCGCCTCTTTCTCTGCTCTCACCTTTTCCGCCTCTTCCTTATTCTTTTGGAGCTCACCTAGCTTCGTTTGCTTCTCTTGCTTCATTTGAATACCTTTCTGGCTATAATCTGCCTTTAGCTGCTTCCCAGCTTTGACCAGCTCAGCCCTACGTAGCGCCTCTTCCCTAGCACTCCTTCCCTGTTCGATACAGTTGTTCCTGCAGGTAGCCCCACTGGCATATTCATCCGTTCCATCACAACAATCGCAGATGCCATCGTTCACTCTACTCGATGCTATGTTTAACGGTTTGTGACCAGCATTGGTGCAATGAAAAATTCCATTAGGACAAGCCGACGTGCCCGGTTCGTCGCTACCGTCTGGACAGTCACAGTAGTCGTCGTTTACCTGGGAAAAGGGCACCGTCTTACTGCCATCGAAACATGTAAAGTCCTTTTCTGGTGGGTACAAAGACGCTCTGGATAGAGATACACCTCTCGGTCTCGGCACGTTCGATGTTAAAATTTCGCAAACAAACACGAAAAGAATTAAAAACGTGTTAGTTAATTTCAAATTATTTAGTTCTTGCAACTCCATCGTACCGGCAAATAGATAACAATAAAAAATAGAGACAGGTGTCAGGCGCAAGCGTATTCAACGCAGCGTATGGAGAGACACGTCATGTAACTTAGGGTTTTTCATTGGTAGGTAGTAAGATTGGTATTGACATTTTATTTAATTATGCTTTATTAGGATAAGGTAAACAAATTAATAAATGATTTATTTAGTTCTACTGTAACGGTTTCTAACTTGTTAAAATTGACAAGTTTTAGATTATTAATTATTATAACCGTTTGTACTACTTGTAGTGAGTTTAACTGTCAATAAATCTATGGTGGTAGCACTGAAATATTTTTAATTTGTTAATTTTGACTTTTATCAAATCAGCTGATTCAGCTGAGTTTTGATGTAAATTTTTGATCTATTGTAGGTTCAATGAAACTAATTTTTATTCATAATAACGTAAATTTGCTGTAAATGATGAGTTAATGGAGTTGCAGCAACATGAAGCGCTTCAAATTCGGAATAATCATTGAAATTTTTGTAAATCTAACGTATCTTGTTCAAGTCCAATGTAAGTAAATAGAGTTTCGTTCAACTAGTAAACTAAAAAAACGTATTTAAGGTTCTGTGTATAAAAACCTGCACTACTTTGAAACTATCCACGCAGATGAATTGAACCACAAAATCGTTAAAAGGGGGTTGAAAGAAAGTTCACACCCTTACAACCACATAAAGGAAGTAAATTTTAGGACGCATGGGAAATATTTCAGATTAATTATTTCGCCGAATAAAGACATTTTTCATTCCAAATTTAAAGCTTATTCTGTAGATGGCGACGGCAGAGAATCCACCGTACATATAAGTAAGTGCAACATTTTACTAAATAACATGTATCGATACAACTATGATTATAGATCACGATGATTTCTACGATGGGAGAGTGTTTGGAGAGACCAATTCTCATGTTAATTTACATATGGAAGACGGTGTCATAACGGGAAGTATACATCTACCCGACGAAGTCTACCATGTTGAGGTTAGTTTCTACTTTTAAATAAAACATGTTATAATGAAATTATTTTGTTAGCCTTCGTGGAGACATTTATCTCATTTAGATAACAGGACGATGATAACATACAAACAGTCGGATGTAAAATTCAGCTGGGAAAATTCGGATTTGGCTTCCAAAGGTATCGGAACACGGATTTGTGATTACGTTAAGGAAGGGGAGGAACTAGAAACCGACGAGGATTTAGAAGGGGAAACTAATAGATGGACTTTGAGAGAGAATCACAGAGAAAAACGGCAAATCGACCAGTACGAATATACTCCTACTAAAACGAGGTGCCCGTTGTTACTCGTTGCGGACTACAGATTCTTTCAAGAAATGGGTGGAAGCAACACCAAAACCACCATAAATTACTTGGTAAGTTTCAAAATTATATCAAAATAGTTCAGATTTTTGTTTATACGTGTGTATTTCGTATTATTTGTATTCAGATCAGTTTGATAGACAGAGTTCATAAAATCTATAACGATACTATCTGGCAAGACAGACAAGAAGTGGACGGGTTTAAAGGTATGGGTTTCGTTATAAAAAAAATCGTAGTTCACAGCGATCCGACACGTATCAAGTCTGGCGAAGCCCATTACAATATGATCAGGGAAAAGTGGGACGTAAGGAATCTGTTGGAGGTACGTACAATTTTTTTAGGATCGTTTGAGATGTTAGACTGTAATTTTTGTTAAATGCGTACTAAATAATTATTTTTAATGATAAACGTCCAACGTAGTGAAGCGGTTTATAGTGCGGGTCCTTCCCCATTTTTACTTATACGTTTTCTTTCTCCCTAGGCGTTCTCGAGAGCACCCCAGCATGGCAATTTCTGTTTGTCGCATTTATTCACCCACCAGACCTTTAGAACTAGAAATTCTGTAGTGTTAGGTTTGGCTTACATCGCCTCCCCCAGAATGAACTCCCACGGAGGCATCTGCAGCAACGGTTAATAGATTATTGCATTTTTCTATTTGGTGGCGGCACGTAGATGTAGCGGCACGGCGGGAGGTTGCACGATCATTTCCGGGAGCAAAATAATGTCGTTAATTTGGATTAAACCCAAAATTAGTGGTTTTGTAGGCGTGAAATAATTTTGCAACTTCCCGAAGTGTTTCTTTGTAAAAATCGTTTCGGGTCATAATTACAATAATTTAATTATTCTTCACTTCTGATTTATGTGAAAAAGTAATTTACTTATCCTGAAGTGCCCCGAAACGATTTTTTTCTTAGTACTTGTCGAGTTTGTGGACCGTCTCTAACCTTTACTAACGCAACGAATGGTGCTCAGGTTTTCAGCAGGGAGTATACACACAAAGATTTCTGCTTGGCCCACCTGTTCACCGACCTCAAATTCGAGGGCGGGATCTTGGGGCTGGCCTATGTGGGTTCACCGAGGCGTAATTCGGTAGGGGGCATCTGCACCCCAGGTATTGACATTGGAGCTTTTCACCCCTTTGTGTAGGCGTGCATACGTTTTTTTTTTGTTTTTGCTAATTGTAAACAGCTTAACGGTGATTCTGCTGCAATAACGCTCCTGTTTTAATAGGATGTACAGTCCATTCACGATTTTTCGTAGTCTTCAAATATGGCTCTACTATACGTTTCAAATGTATTGCATCTGCACTTAAATGATAAATTGTTATTGTTAGTTAAAAGTTTATTTTGCCTGCTGTGAAAATAAGTCATTTGTAACCTACAAATTAATAGGTCAGTCTGCCAGTAGGTATAAAGTACTGCTTCATGGCAGTAGGCCTTGTGCAATGACATTTAAGATGTGACATATACTTCGTAGGTTATATTCCATAGAGCGAACTACACCAGTAGATACAAAGCAAAGCTGTAGACAAAAAAAGTTCAATTTTCAGAATATTTCAACCTTCCATTTTTTTTGTAATTCACTCAAGTTGAATGGCCAATACATTTGAATCTTATAGCAGCTTTTCATTTAAAAAAATGTTCATTTTTACCCTTAGCCACTGTGAATGGTGTATATTTCCAAATACTTAGCTAACAAAAACAGCTACTTTTAATTTTTTTAGCAATTCGCTTTTTATTTATTTACACATTTACTTTTTTTTTTTGAGGAGTTGCGATTCTAAATTTTTAATGCCGAACGGCACAAACCGACATTGCTTTCCGTTTTCCCAGAGTACTTCAAGAACGGCTACACTCTATACCTCAATTCCGGACTGAGCTCAAGCCGCAACCATTACGGTCAACGAGTGATAACCCGCGAGGCTGATCTAGTCACCGCCCATGAGTTTGGCCACAACTGGGGTTCGGAGCACGACCCCGACATCCCGGAATGCTCCCCCAGCGCCAGTCAGGGTGGGTCGTACTTAATGTACACATACAGCGTCAGCGGGTACGATGTCAACAATAAGGTACGAGATTATCGACCGTCTCCACAAACCGAGAAGTAATGTTAGCGATAATTTGCAGAGGTTTTCTCCGTGTAGCCTCAGGTCTATCAGGAAAGTGTTACAAGCGAAATCGGGTCGTTGCTTCTCAGAACCCGAAGAGAGCTTTTGCGGGAACTTACGCGTCGAAGGTGACGAGGAATGCGACGCTGGCCTACTGGGAACCGAGGACAACGACGCTTGCTGCGACAAGGATTGTAAACTGCGCAACAAGGCAATGTGCAGGTAAAATTTTTTTAATTTCCGACTCATTGGGGCAAAAATATTTGCATACGATAATTTTTTTTTGTTTTCTCAGCGACAAGAACTCGCCCTGTTGCCAGAACTGCCAGTACATGCGGAGCGGGGTGAAATGCAGGGACGCCCAGTACGCTACCTGCGAACAGGAGTCGCGGTGCACAGGCCACCAGGCCGACTGTCCCAAGAGCCCCCCCATGGCGGACGATACGGATTGCCAGGAGAGGGGGAAGTGCAGGAACGGGAAGTGCATGCCTTTCTGTGAGACTCAGGGCATGCAGAGCTGTATGTGCGACATAAGTAAGTAGACGGGGTGAAACTTGACAATGAAGACACACAAACACAACGTACGGTCATGAAACACTGAAATAAATGTAATAAAATGAAGCGATGACATATTCGGTTCATTGAGTTAACGTTGAGTGTTTTTTTGTTGTCCGTTTACCTTTTATTAAACTAAACACAGTGCTTAAAAAAAAATAGTGCACCCACTTAAAATTTCACCCTGTATAGTCCCTATTTTCTGGCAATTGGCTTTAATCGATGTACTTTTTAGTCGAAAATGCCTGCAAAAGATGCTGCAGGTCTAACATCAACGAAACTTGCTCCCCGGTGGACTCTGCAGATATTCTGGCTGATGGGACACCCTGTATACAAGGCTTTTGCAACAATGTAAGTCTCTAAGTTATTTTAAAACATCTGTCCCATCGTTTCAAATAATTTCATAATTTAACCCTTTCCGAACCTAAAACATTGTGAATGGATTATACATAGTAAGTAATAATTACGCTTATCCTTACACGAAAAGTAAAATTCCAAATTGTAGCTTAAAACAACAATATTAATCAGCATCCGAAATCGCCAATGCACTAAAATAAACTCAAAATTCGTAACACGTTATACTCTATTCACAATGTTTTAGACTCGGTGACACGAAAATCGACAATTATTTTGAATTAGCGACAATTTCCGTGTTTCCACATTAGGGCCACTGCGAGAAGACCATCCAGGACGTGGTGGAGCGCTTCTGGGACATCATCGAAGACATCAACATCAACAAAGTCCTGCTCTTCCTCCGGGACAACATCGTGGGCACCGTCGTGCTCGTCACAGCGTTGCTGTGGATCCCCGCCAGCTGCGCCATCAGCTACGTGGATAGGAAGCGCAGGCGGGAGGAGATGGAGCGTTGGGAGTGGAGGAACAAGACGGATCTGATACACCCGTCCGACAATATAAGGCGCGTCATCCACCTCAGGGTGCCCAACAGGCAAAAGAACGCGTCGCAAGTGTCTAGTCGTAACGCCATTCCGGAATAGCGTCGTTTTTTATTTAGTCTTGTTTTGTTTTTCATGAGTATTTTATGTATTGTTGGTCGTCTGCAGAGGTTTTTATTTCCAGTGGGTGTTTGTGAGGTCTAGATATCCATGAAATTTGTCTGTTTTGTTTTTTTTTTTACAGTTGTGGGTATCGAGTGAAAGTTTCGTCACTTTAGGGAAGTTCCTCGTCTTAATCAGCGAGATAGAGAGAAAGTAGTTCAAATGTCCCAGGCCCAATCTGCATCTAGACTTGTAAAATATTGTAGGTCATTTTGTGAAATTACTTTTATTTTTGAAAATTTTTATTTTGGTGGAGAAATATTTTATATTCTTGGTTTATAAATGGAAAAGTTGATAACTGAGGAAGGCCCTATGACTCGTAAACCTCAAGATGTTAAGGTGTGGTTTGCAGCTGCCACTTTTCCTCGAAAATCCAGTCTGGTACATTTGAACTACTTTCTGTTTTATTTTGCAGAAGGTGAGAAAAACGTCCCAAAAGTGTCGAAATTGGTATCCTGTACAAAATTTCATGAAAATCAGCATTAAATATCGAGGATCTTACAAATAACACATTTTCAAACGTGATATTTTAATGTACTTACTTATTTGAAGTATTTTAAGTCTATATAAATTTCCAAACAATTCAAATGGGGAACATTATCAAGAAAAAGTATTTCTTATTGTGATTTTATAATTCTAAGATTTTTTTTATTATTAAAGATCAATGAAAGTAAGAAGAAGAAGAAGTGTTTTATTTTTTTTCCTAGTTCCATCTATCGGCGGTTTCTGCTTAAATTTATTTTCTTTGAAGACATATTACAATTTCATGATAAAAATTAAAATGAAATTTGAACTACTTTCTATACAACTTCTCAGAAAATGCAAATAACGCTAAAAAAAATTTTGAAAATGGTCCAACCCGTACAGAATTTCATAAATATCTGTGATACATGTTAGGGATCTTATTTGCAAGTACACAAGCACTTCAATGACCTCTTCAAGGTCGTTTTGACTTCATCAGAGTGAACAGAGAATACATAGATGGAAAAAATTTAGTCCCCATTCGTGGAACAAGAATCACATTCATTTGTTTTGAGAGGTTTATGAACATACCCCTACCCACACATAGGCAACTTTACTGGTAAGAGATTGAAAATTACCCCCACTACTTGACTCCAGAGCCCGAGAGGACAGCGAGATGTGTCTGTCCTTTTTTAGACAGAGACAAAATAAATTTCTGTTGTCTCTGTTAGCATTCATTTTGAAATTTAACAGCTGACATCGGAACTTCATCGTGATTCATACGTTACAATATAATTTTAGAATTTTCAGAAAATGTAATAATGTGAATGAAGAAATTATACGCGAAACATTGCCAATGACATCAATTTCCAAATGAACTACATGGTGATTTACAAACAGTGACAAAAAATGAAACCTCGAATTCTTTAGTTAATTTTAAGGTAGGTCTTTCATATAAAGTTTTTGTCTAGGACGGTTCACTAAAACAATCCAGTGTAAAATTAATATTTTTAATTTTTTATAACATTTTAGAAACTAGTGAGTGAAATAATTTGAAATTAATCACATGAATGTATGTAAATATTGTACAAAATCGGAAGCATTTTCTTAAAAAACAATGTTCCAGTGGCTGAGATACAGGGCTTTATTATGATATTTTCGGATTCTCCTTACAATTTTCTACAAATCACCACCCCTTTATGTTTTTCGAAAAAAAAAAAACATTTTCGTTGAACTGAAAACATTGTTTAAATTACAATAGAAACACTTTTTTTAATCTATTATTTAATCGAATAAAGAACATCTCATAGATGATTTTATTTGAGTAAATGCTCAAAAATACCTCAATTTGCGCAAACACAACCTACTAATGTAACGATTAAACAGCATTGTATTCAAATATCGAAGTGTGTCTTCAGTTCATTTTTTAAGTTTTACTCAGGCTTTTTTGGAAAAATATAAAAGAATAGTAATTTGTAGAAAATTGGAAGAGGAATGCGAAAATATCATGATTGTTACAATAAAGCAGCGGCATACTTTTTTATTTAGACAAATATTCCAGCAATACCCTGCAGCATTTATTTTTTATTATTTGTAAAAAATTTAAATATTTTTTAAATTTTAATACCCTGTATTTTTTTATTGAAACTTCCTAGATAAAAGCTTTATACGAAAGAGCCCTCTTAAAATTCACTAAAGAATATGAGGTTTCATTTTTGGTCAGTGTTTGCGAATCACCTTACGAATATAATGAGAAGTTATCGTATGCCCCTTTACACTCAATGAATTTATCTTATACCTCTCGTATGTGCAATAATTGCCCTTGAAAGTGTTTCTTACTCCAAACACCGATGGCGTATTTAATGCATTTTTTTCATTGAGTTGCCTATCTATTTCTTACATAGTATATCTTATCTATGCCCCTACCCCAAACATAGGACAAGGAAGATGCTTATAGAGGAAATAAATAACAGAATTATCTGTACAGCGCCATCTAGCGGCCTCCTGGATATTTTTCAGAATTAATGTGTACAAAAATTGATAGATGGCGCTGTAGTAGGAGATATATTTAAGTCCGAATTTCCATCTTCTCTCTGCTCGAATATTTCGAATAAATAGTTAATTTTGAATCAGTTTCTTTGTAAATAACACCCAGTACTACATATAGATTGATTACTACTAATTTCAAATTTATCGCTAAAATTACATATCAAAAAGAGCCGTCTATTAACAGTTTGCTGAGCTTAAACACAAATTTCCACGCCAGATGCCGCTGGCGGTCTCATCTTGGCATGTACAATAATTTAAATAGAAATATGATAACCCTTCCTTTGTTTCCTCGCAAACAACGCAGCTGATGTCGCTTTGTAGTATTTATCGCAACTTTAGCCTTGTCGATAATATCTTTTTGTTTAGAATTTTGTACGAAATCACCATCCATCTATTATTGGTTATTTAATTCCTTGCCATGCTTTTTTTTTATAACCAAAACAGATTCGACGAACACGTGTATTACAAGGAAATCGAGTTTTATTTACAATTTAGCAATTATAGGCGCGTAAGTTAATGCATTTATTAAGCACATAGGCGGGTAAAACGCAGCTAATTGATAACCATTTTACAAAAATTCTACATAACGTGCTGTCAAAGCATTCCGTGTTTTTTTTTATTTAGAATTTAGAACTTTCCTCGCAGATTGCATTTAATTTCTGTCGGCGTAAAAGTCTTGTTCATTCGATGGACTTTCACTTAGCTCGAGATTAAACAAATAAAGTGAAAAGGGCTGTATAGCAAATAGGCAACCAGCAACACGATTTTATGGATTTTATTACATACTTTGTCTAAATATGAATTAATGCACAAATAACATACTTTCCCCTATTTTAACGCAGATTTTCTATAAAATGGACTTGGTTTGAAACTCAAATTATTTTTTGGTGTAAAGAAATTAGTAATTTTACGATGCCGCTTGTTCAAATTACAAATTTCTTTACAACATAAAGTAATCTGAGCTTCAAACTAAGTCCATTTTATAGAAAATCTGCGTTAAAATGGGGGAAAGTCTGTTATTTGTGCATTGATTCATATTCAGACAAACTGTGTAATAAAATCTGTAAAAATGTATTGCTGGTTGCCTATTTGCTATAGAGCCCTCTTAGAAGCGGCAAGGGTAATTATACAGGGTCATCCAAAAGTCCCGGTATGGCAGAAAAACTGTCGAAGAAAGCATTTTGGGAAAAAATGTTTCAGACAAAAGTATAAGGATTTTTCCCTGGCTATCTGCTGGCGACCTTGGATTTGACCTTGAAGGTCATTTGAAGGTCAAGTTAAGTTTTATAGTTGGAAACCCCTATTTTTTATTGCGAATTGGAAAGAGCAAGAAATTTTACGTCCAAAATTGGTCTTGGCTACGACTTTACAATGACCTTGCTTTTCCAAATTCACAATAAAAACTAGGGGTTCCCATTTAAAAAACTTAACTTGACCATCAAATGACCTTGAAGGTCAAATCCAAGGTCACCGTAAGATACCCAGGGAAAAATCCTTACACCTTTGTCTGAATTTTTTTTTCCAAAATGCATTCTACGAAAGTTCTTCCGTACCGGGACTTTTGGAAGTCGACCCATATTTGACCTTGAAGGTCATTGTCAAAGTTATGGTCAGTACCATGTTTGGACGTAAAATTTCCTGCTCTTTCCAAATCCGTAATAAAAAAGAGGGGTTTCCATTTAAAAAACTTAACTTGACCTTCAAATGACCTTGAAGGTCAAATCCAAGGTCACCATCAGATAGCCGGGGAAAAATCCGTACACCTTTGTCTGAATTTTTTTTTCCCAAAATGCATTCTTCGAAAGTTCTGCCATACCGGGACTTATGGAAGTCGAACCACATTTGACCTTGAAGGTCATTGTCAAAGTTATGCCATGTTTAGACGTAAAATTTCCTGATCTTTCCAAATCCGCAATAAAAAATAGGGGTTTCCTTTGACCTTCAAACGACCTTGAAGGTCAAAGTTAAGGTCAAATCCAAGGTCACCATCAGATAGCCAGGTAAAAATCCTTACACATTTGTACGAAACATTTTATCCCAAAATGCTTTCTTCCAAAGTTTTTCTGCCGTACCGGGACTTTTGGATAACCCTGTATAATTTTGACTATAGATTTGTCAATTTTTTAAAATATATTCCACTGAAAAGGGGGAAAATTGCGTAGCATAGACGAATTCAGAATACCTTCACCGGTTGGACATTTCTAAGTACAAGTTTTTTTCCTGGAAAAGTATCCAATTAACCACTAATTTATATAATGAAGCGATAAAAATTCCTATATATTATTTTTTGCGTAGGTAATTACGTATAAGAGTACCTATTGCACGCAATTATACATATGTAATTTATACAGCAGACAATTTTTATAATCTCATGTAAGTGCAGTTTATTACGTATCAAAATAAAAATACATGGCAGCACATTTTTTCCAGAGACGTTTTTAAAACTTTTTTCACTGCCCCATCTCGTGCTTTCCCCGTTTCGACAGCACTCTAGACTAGTAAGAATTTAATACATCGTTTGTTATGTTACATACAAAAAGGAAATGTTAAATTTGTGATGTCTAGTCAGTTTAACTCGACATGCAGCATTTGTTTCCAAAGCTCTGAGTACATGGGCTCCTCATAGTTCGCCTCTACATCTGTGAAGTGTTTACAATGGTGGTCATGGTCACTGTCCAACCGCTGAGGGTGTTGATCGCAACGTCCTCTGGATCCTGATGACCTGCGTTTAGGGTAAAATCCCTTTCACCTATCTTGGGAAATAAGTTTGATTTTTCAATAGATTTTTATGAAATTCATTAATTTTCACGTAGTTTGAACAATGCATTACGCAATACCTCGATTCCATTTCCAAATAAATTTTAACAATTTTTTAAAAATCTTTAAAATCTGTGGTTGTGTACGTGGAAAAAATGCGATACACCACTGTTCACATTAGTTGAAAAATATATTTTTTTCCTTCCACTAAATATAAATACCGCCGACCTCCAAATCGACGTGTACTTATATCACTAAAGTGCAGACCGATAATAAATATTTAATTGCTTATTGTATCGGCTTAATGCATTTTACCTAGTTTTTGCTACAAGTACATTATTTTCTGTGCGCTTAATCCTGTGAAAAATATTTTTGTGGAATGGAGTATAAAAATTACGTCGGCATCGTTACCTACGTGACGATCTTCGTCTTCTATATTTTTTCTTTGAAAGCGTCGACTGAAATCGGGAAAGCCCCCGCTAACGCCGTGCACCTTCCGAAGGAAATCAAAATCTTGGGGCAGTACCGGTTCCATTTCTTCACCGTGTGGAATTTTGTACGTTTATTTCTCATTTTAACGAAAAAATGCGATATTTTATAATTCCAGATGCTGCAGATACTTTTCCTACTAACGGCCGTGCTGGACGAAACGTCGAAGCTCCTCGATCTTCCCGTTCTGACACGGAAGCGTCTGGGTAGGACTAGGGCGTTCTTATTCAACACCCTCGTCTTCCCGTGTAGTTTGCTGGTAGTTACGATATTCTGGACAATATGGCATATCGACAGGGAACTGGTTCTCCCGAAAATCCTCGATAAGGTCTTTCCTTTGTGGCTCAACCACGTCATGCACACGATCATTCTGGTACCTCTTGCGGTGGAACTGGCGCTGCCGAAGAGGTACAATTTCGTTCGATTCGAAAACGCCGCTGCGACTTTGGTGCTTTACGCGCTGTTTTACCAGCTACAGTGAGTATTCCGAGGGATTTCATGGGGTTTCCCTAAAATCGACTCGAATTAGGGGGGGGGAGTTTAAAAAGTTCTGATGTACGAAAAAAAATTCAATTCGAAAGGCAAAACTCGTATCGACGACCTTGAAATCAAAATTGGCAATTTCGGTGTCGCAGCATTTTGATCGGCAGACGTTCACACTTCGATGTTTTAAATATTTTTTTATACGTGTGACGATTCCTTTTTAGATTGATGTTTTTCGAAATTTCGTATGATTTGTCGAATTTTAATTTCAGATACTTCTCGATCTACCTGCGACACGGAATATGGCTGTACGGCATCTACGCTACCTTAACCTGGACGCAACGTTTCCTGTTCTCCGTGTTCCAACTTCTCCTGCTGCTGCTATTCTTAAAAATCGGCATTACGATTCAAGACAGCAAACGAATACAACAACCTCGGAAAATAGCCTAATTTATTATCACCTACTATTATAAAACGATTTTTATTACAATAAATTAATATTAAAAGTCCCATCGAACGATTTATTCAAGTAAAAAAAAATACATACACGTCTCTCCCCTGATTAAAACTTCCTCCGCTTGAGGATATCCGGCTTCCAGTTGATGGGATGGGTCTCCTCCGTCGCCGTCTCGTCCTCCTTATAGATCTTAATCGTCTTGTCGGCTTCCGTCGTGATCAGCCTCGACCCCGAGTTATCGTAAGTCATCGCGAAAATCCCCGCCTCGCTGTCCATCGACCCCGGTTGTACCGGCGCCTGCAACCTCTGGAAATTATAACCCGTTCTCCAGTCCCAGAAGTGCAGGGTGCCGTTATCGCCCCCCGAAACCAGCACTCCGTCCGCGTTGACCGCCAGACAGTTGATGATGGCGTTGTGACCCGACAGGTTCTGGATGAACTTCCCCTCGGGGCATTTCCACTGCTTTATGTTGTCCGGGGAACCAGACGCGAACATATTCCTGAAAAAAAATTATAATTTGCACCAATCGAGACTTTAAAATGAGTTTTTCGTCCACTTACAATGTCGGATGGAGCACCACGTCCCTAACGCTCTTCTTGTGGTTGGTCAACGTGCATATGGACTTGCCCGCCGCCAGATCCCACAGCCTTATGGTGGAATCGTGGGATCCTGTGATCACCTGTGGTTCTGAGGCCTGAGCCACGACGGTGGATACCGTGTGTGTGTGGCCTGTTAACGTGTGGATGTTGGCCTTCGTTCTCATATCCCAGACGCGCGCTGTGGAATCTCGACCGGCTGTGAGCAAGATGTCGATCGTGGGGTGGAGAGCGAGGGAATAGACGGCTGACAAGTGCCCATGATAATGTCGAATAACCTATAAAGTGTGATTATGTCTACGTAAAACCGTCGTTAGGGAAACTATTTTAAATCGAGGGACAGTTATTTAGAAATTCTCAACTGGCATAAAATTTACACAAGAGATTGAAAAAAATGGCGTAAAACTACTCTAAAATATGCAAAACTCTGTACTCACTTTGTTGTACTCCAGATCCCAACATTTCACCTGCCGATCTTCCCCGCAACTGAACAAATAAGGATGTCTCCCACTAACCGCCAAACCTCTCACGGTACTTACGTGTCCCGTCAACGATACTTTCAACTGACCGCTGGCCAAATCCCAAATTTTTATGATTCTATCCGCAGCACCGGTCGCAAACCACTACAAATAAAAATTGCTTTATAAAGTACATGTTTTCTTTAAAAATGTCCACTTCTAACCTCATTTCCTGGTTCTACAGCGACACACCGTACCCAACCCAGATGCCCGGCTATCACCCTGTATAGTTTCCAAGGAGCGTGCCATTTCGGCTTGGGCATAGTCGGAGCCTTCTTGATAATGTTCGCCAGTTGATTCTGATTGCCTCCCTGTTGGTTCTTGTTCATCAAACTAGTGTCTGTATAAGGGACGACAGCTCCGTCGTTAGGCTGGGTCGATTCTACTTCTCCAGTGCCGGGAGGTGGTGGATTGGGGCCAGCCTCGGAATCTCTGAGGTGTCTCATGGCTTGCATTTTCTTTACGTCGTCGAATACCATGCCGTAGCAGTCCCTGGCTTTCACGCTTTTCCTGATTTTCTCCCTACAAATATAAGAATATATGGACACTGTACATTCCTTTATAAGTTTTACTTACGCGGTGTCATCAACGGGAGGTAATAAGCCTTGGTTGGACAGAAACATGTCGTGGGATCTTTTTAAAGATCTAAACACCAAGGTGTGTACTGAATGTCTTTGCACTTCTTCTATCATGATGAATGTAGCGTTAGCGCAACACTAGCTATAGCAAACGTTTTTAAAACATGTATAAAACGCACTTTGCTAGAAAATAAATCGAAAATGTTTACTAATTGTTTTTAATTCTGTCAAATGTCAAAAACTTTGCTGCTGTCGGTGTGACAACTGACAGTCACTCTTCAGTTGCTTAGGGAAATAGTCAGTGCTGCCAGTTGTTGCTTTTCAACTTGTTTAAACTAGGATAAATAAAGCCCCATAAATTAACAAATTAAGTGATGTGCATTAAAGTTTGATAGTGAAAAACATCGAGAAATTATATAAATTTATAAAATAAATTCCTATAAGTTTTGTTCAAACGATTTAAACCGGGACATGTACAGGCGCCATCTGGTGTCAGGTTCAACAATTGTTTCTGGCGGGCTTTGTCCAAGGTCGCTAAAAGGACTCCTGTAATTGTTATCATTCCGATTTTAAATTTGAAAATACAATAAATGTGACTCAATGTGTGTGTGATTCTAATAAGTGAATAGCGTGTACTGTGTAGTGTATTAATTAAATTAAACAGTTTGAAAATTTGGATAACAGTGATTCTTTGCAGTGCGAATAAAATGATGGGCACCATTTTGTTAATGAATCTTGAACTCATAGGTAAGTTCCTATATATTATTATTTTATTTATAGAGATAATATGAAATTTAATATATTATATAGATCATACGTTGTTTAGATTTAGAAGCTAATTTATTTTTAATAAATTTTTCTTCGATTTCATCCACTTTGAATGAAGGATATCCTGTAATAAGTTTCAAATGGGTTGCACGATCGTACCTATCTTTTTTCTTTTTTCATGCTACATTTCCCTGCTGGGAAAGTAGTTTCCAAAAGTTACAAGAACTTGCAGAATGCACAGTCCTTTTTTCGATATTGATTTGTACCCTCGATTTACTACTGAAAAGTTCTAATCTAAATTAATCCAACTACGTCGAAGTAATGGTCTGGACATTACCTAGGGGATTCTTTCTTATAAAGACATCAATCTATAAGCTCCAAGATACACAAAGAGAAAAACAAATGCCAAAGGAAAAACAGGAGAGCAATAATCACGTTAAAACTTTCTGTGTTCCCGCTTGGTCTTTTATTTACACCAGGAAAAGTGGATGGAAAATCGAATATCGCCCACTTAAAAACAATGTCATATTTTTTAATTGAAAAAATCGCAGCTATTTGTCACTGGTCAGTTGCCGGAGCAGTGAATTTCATTAAAATACACGTAAGAAGTCTAACCTAACGTAACCTAACCCAATAGTCTAATAAATCAATTAATAAAGTATGCGAGTAGAACTTTCCTTTGCCAGAGGGTCTTATTTTTTATTATTGAACAATGTTCAAGTGATCGGGAGTGAAAAAAAAAATACCTTCAGACGTAGTGGAGCAACATCGTCGTTTCTTTTCGGATTTTTTTGTTTGTTACCCTCATCCCCCATCGAAAAACCCGGCGATAGACCCTTTCACATCAGATAATTCGCAACTAAAGTCACCCCCATCTCGATCCCGATGCCCACTCCCATCATCCCGCCCCCTCCCTCGCCGGAATCGCACAGAATCGGGCGAGGCTAGTCGGCGGGCGGGTGTCAGTGCAATCCGGACTTCTGTCGCGCTCCAGTGTGGCTCCACAGCGTCGAGGCGTCGGTACGGCGTCGCGATGCCCCCCTCCTCCTGCGAGACGCTGCGTGCATGGCTACTGTCCGCGCTCGTTGTGCACGGGGTCGTGGCGGGCAACCCCGACGCGAAGAGGCTCTACGACGACCTCCTCTCCAACTACAACAAGCTGGTTCGGCCGGTGGTCAACACCTCCGACGTGCTCAGGGTCTGCATCAAGCTGAAGCTCAGCCAACTCATCGACGTGGTAAGAGAAAGGCCCCCGAGCCTCTCGTGGGGTTTCCTGGCGTCCCAGGCGTCGGTATTCTTGTGTTAAATACGTTGTGGGACGAGTTTTCCTATTTACTTAAATGAGTTTCAATGTAGCCTCGGAAGATTTAGTTATTGTTTTATAGTGAAGCCACACGTACTTAGTGCTGTGCTACACTCACAAAAATATTGTGTTTTTTTTTTCACCTTCAAGTGAATCGCAATTAAACCTATATCTGTTTCATCATACAACTCATTGTAGAAGAAAGTGACAGGCGTAGATTAGAGTATAGAGTAAATTTCTTCGACATTTGAAGAAACCGGTCTTAAGAGTGCAATGTTACACTTTTTCAGTCAAAATTTAATCTTACAAATAGATATATGTATATTTACGGCACTTAAGGTGTAACTTTATTAAGAAACAGTGAAATTACAGGGTATTTTTAAGAAAAATGTATGCATTATTATGTAACACTACTACAAATAGCAAAATATGACGTAATTAAATGGTAGATGGTAATATAAACAAGGTTATACCAATAAATATGTGTCAAATCCGATTTAAATGCAGTTCCCAGTTGCTAACCCTTTAAATTTACTTAGAAATAGTGTATACGTTGTGTAGACAGCGCTCGTCATCAGCGACTTGTGACGTTAAAACATCTGAGAAACAGATTTGCTTGTTGCACTTTCTAATAACGTTCAATAACTGTTTTGTCATCAAATATACGCATTTATCCCTATTTTGTGCTGACGATGACGAGTCGAAGCTATTCTTCTTTAGGTTTAGGAATACTTTTTAAAAGACGAACCGGTCTAGTCTATCTCGAAAAATCCAAACGAATACTTGTGTTTACGTTCAGGGTTTCACGATTTTACAAAACAGGAGCCGACATCTGGCTTTTAGCGTATCCAGGACGTGAAAACGCCCGTCAATGCCGTTTAGGACGTCCAACCAAGGCAGGGGCCGTAGAAAACACTCGCACTTTTACCCAGCTTTCAATCTTTCTCGTCCATCAAGTCTAATAAGGACCTGGCGTCGTGACGGGTGGCGTCCCACGAAACTAGGGGTTCGGTAAGAGCTACGCTTTGAGTATCAGCGCCTACGGACGTCGCAGACAGGCGAGAAAATTGCGAAATATTCAACGTCTTCAACTTGGCCCGACAGAGACAAGAAATGTAAAAATATAGGTTAGAAAGACTTTGAAAACTTGCGTGAAAGCATTTGATACATTCATATTGAGTGGGAATCGAATAATGACCACTTTCTAACCCTAAAAAAATCAGGATCGAATCTTTGTGAGTATAGGCTTGCTTGAGCGGTTTCTGCTGCGTAAAATGGTGAAAATATATAAAAAAAACCTGTTTTGATGCATTAGAATTTCAATCTAACCTCAAAAAATTGCGTGAACCCATTCGAAACAGGGGTACAAAGTATGAGATTCCCTGCTCTCGGTTACTTGGGTAAGAGAGTTTGAAGCTTCGGTTTATAGAGTCTAAAGCTCTAACCTAACCTAGTAACAATCTTTTTAAATGTATATACATAAAAAAATACAGCTTCAGCTTACAAATAAGCTCATTTTACTTTTCACAGTTGTAAAATTACCACGTAATTGTGTTCTATAATTGGCTAAATACAATTGCAAAACATCTTTGCCGATGAATGAAGTTTTCTCTTACACTTTACGATCTTTACGAGCCCCCCCTTCCAGCGGATCACCGACAAACATTTTTCCAATTACAACCCTCCCCGCCTCCGTGTACTAATTCGGTTTTCCTGTTTTCTGCCAATTAGACTGACAAATTCCCCTCCTAATTATATTTAGATCCCAATTCATACCTTTTAGCAAGCTCCCGTCTCAACTGGAATCTAATTTGACGTCAAAACGGTGAAATATTTCTGTACCCTCTTCCCTTGACGCTCGTCTCGTAAAAAAACGTTCCGTTTCAGGAGCCCGAAGCCTTATCCTTGTCTAATCTAGGCGGGCATCGGCCAGAAAGGTGAAACGTTCATTTGTTTTGGGCAAATGAGTGTCGCGCAAAAAAACGCCGAGGAAGAAATGGAAGGTCTGTGCTTTGTCTCCGTCGCCTCTTTGCATATATTAGTTTGTTTTTAGAAGTGGACTTACTAGATCAAAGAAAATTCACAGTGTAGTCGTAGGAGACTAAGATTTGTCTATTTGTTTTCTGCGTGGGCGAAATTTCGATCTCCTTCCGCCGACTTGACGATTCGTGGGAGGAAAAGCGGAAGCGATACAGAGAGCGCCGTCTCGCTTGTCCAGATTTTAACAATGCCCCGATTGTGACGTCCGATAAACCTGAGAATCAGCACGCGTATTCATTGTGCGAAGACATCTATTGAGAGGCTGGGAAAGTTCTCGTGTTGCTTCAAGTTTACATCCAATCGCGAATGTATGGATTTCAACAGAGAGTACGGGATTGTCGTTTTGATTAGTTTTACTACACTTTTGAACGTCAATTTCGAAATACTGATAATGTAGACTCCCAATCCTTACGAAAAGTATCAATATATTTGTTTAAAAGAACTGGAAAATATTTAGAAAAGTATCTTACATTGTGAGGGGAAATTTTCCAGCAAAATATAGGTACGATTTTACTGATTAATTGTTTTAATCAAATTTCATTACTAATAAGTCTTTATATGGATATGGCAATGTCGACGGTAAAAGTTTTTTTTAAAAAAAGTTCCGTTCAAGCCATTGTTTTGCACCCTCGTAAATCTGAACTGCATTTGAATTTGGGTCGAAGTTACAAATCACCCTTCTTGTGAGTCGGATATCCCTAACGTAGAACAGCGTCGGGGGATGAAGAAATAGTTGTAGGGGTTCGCCAATGTTTATTCTTTGTAGTCGTAATTTACAATAAATAATCTCATCGTCCTGTTTCGTGTGGTCTAGAAAACAGAGACATAAAATTGTGAATTTCTCTCCGTTAAAATTAACAGCAAGATTTGGACTTAGCAAGGGTTGAAATTACGGCATCGTTAACCAGGTCGTAATCCTTGAATATGGGCTACTTTAGACATAAAATCACATTATGGCTTCAACACAGATCATTCGCTACAGTTAATTTACCACTTACCGCATGAGGGGCGGTATCTATTTATCGAAACTAGAAGCAAAAACACAGAAAACATGTACAGGATTCGTAAGCTGTAGAATAAAGCGGTATTTTTGATAAAAATTCAATAATACAACAAGAAATCGCACAACAAAATTTTAATATGTAAAAAATGCGTTTTACCACATTCATTCAACTGTTTTTATCACTATGCCGTTTATTGTGTTGCTGGGATTATTTCTGTACAAAGAAGACGTATGCAAAATCAAAATTCTCGGTTATATTCGGCCAGAATTAATTTTTTTCGGAGGCCCGCTGCGCCCATTTGCGCGGGGAAGCGTATCGCCTCCCTCGAACGGTAAAATAAGTGGCCGAGGAAAAAAGTTTACAGTTTGTGCATATTGGAAGCTTTCCAAATGTATTTGGGAGATAAGACGGGTGAAAAATGATGCCCGTAAACTTCGGGCGGAATTCAAGAATATGCTTACCAGGCGAATGTGCAGGAGTGCTCTCTCCAGATGGGGTATCGACGTCGCATGACAATCTTAAAAATGTTTGAACTAATAACCGTATTTGTACAGGGTTAATAGTCCAATTAAATGGGCTTTTAAATTACAATTTTGGTAAACTTACCTGAATTTTTTATATAAGTTCGTTTGAGGTATATAATAACAATAAGTGACAGTAATTTTTCTTCAATCCCCGGCCAGGGGTGAAAAAAGATAAAATAAAGGGATTTTTCAAGGTAACTTAAAAGGGATAAGAGCTAGAAAAAAAAGTTTCTTATAAAAGTTGTAGAGCATAAAATTCTACATAAAAATGGTCTATTGAGTTTTTCTTGTACTTTTAAAATTAACAGAGTTAGGGAGATTATAAGTTAAGGGATGATTTCAGAAATTTAAAAAATCATAACAGAAAAATGAATTTTATAATTTTTTTTCAAACTACTCTAAAAAATGTAAACTATCTTTTCAGAGAAATAGCTATATTTTTTAATTTTTAATAAAAAAGTTGTAACAATTTCACAAAGCGAAGTGATTCTTTATCTTTGTTGTGAAACAAAATTTTGAAAGCAATTTTTCATTATTTTAAATAATCAATCGAATGGCATAGAAAAAATTGTTTTAGTGTTAAATCATAAAAATTAACGATTAAAAAATTAAAATTGTTATCTTTTTTATTAAAAATTAAAAAATGTATCTATTCCTCTGAAAAGAAAGTACATTTTTTCATAATTTTTAATTTCTGAAATCATCCCTAAACTCCTAGCGATCCTAACTCTGTCAATTTTAATAGTACAAGAAAAAGTCAGTGGACCATTTTTATGTAGAGTTTTATGCTCTACAACTTTTATACGAAACTTTTTTTTCTAGCTCTTACCCCTTTTGAGTTATCTTGAAAAACCCCTTTATTTTATCTCTTTCGAATGGCAGAAAAAAATTGTTTGTTAAATCAGAAAAATTAACGATTAAAAAATTAAAATTGTTATAACTTTTTTATTAAAAATTAAAAAAATATATCTAGGCCTCTGAAAAGAAAGTTTACATTTTTTCATAAATTTTTCTGCATGTAATGATTTTTTTTTAAATTTCTGAAATCATCCCTTAACTCCTAGCCATCCTAACTCTGTTAATTTTAATAGTATAAGAAAAAGTCAGTAGACCATTTTTATGTAGAATTTTATGCTCTACAACTTTTATAAGAAACTTTTTTTCTAGGTCTTACCCCTTTTAATTTATCTTGAAAAACCTCTTTATTTTATCTCTTTTCATTCCTGGCCGAGGATTGAAAAAAAAATACTGTCACTTATTGTTATTATAAACCTCAAACTAACTTATATCAAAAACTCAGGCAGGTTGACCATATTGCAATTTAAAGGACCATTTAATTGGACTATAATGTTAAATGTGTTTTGTT